CTTTGTCATTTTTAAAATTTTTAAAGATAATATCAATTTTGTTGAATATTTCTCCATATTTTATTCTATTGTAAAATATATAACATATTTACTTTTCTTTTATTTTTCCTAAAACATCAATATAAAACAAAAAAATATATATGATGATTTTTGTAACGCAAAATAAATATATATCATATCATAAGAGTTATACAAAATACAAATAACATAAACACTTGAATAAAATCGTTAAACCAAATAAAAAATACTATAGATTAGATTTTATTAAATATTAAATTATTGTTTAAAAATATCTAAAAATGTTAAATATGTTATATACATGGAGATTTTCGAATTTAATTTTCCATTTTTTTGGCAACAAAATTAGTATGATTCATAAATATAGGTAGTTTCTGTTTTTTATTATTTATTTATTTATTAAAACATTTTTGCTGTCATTAGTTTTGTTTGGCAACTGAAATATATTTCATGAAATTTTTTTTTTTTAAATTGGGTGTGTTTGGCTTTAATTTGTCCTTCCGAATTAATAGTATAGATTAATCAAGAAAATTGCACCTCAACTAAATTTTCTAATATATTTCTAAATGTTAGGAAATATTGGTTACAACTTACAGTGAGCTATGTATATTAATTCTTACATATATAGCTTTAACTTCTTAATCGAACCATGTGACATCTCATTCTGTTTGTTGCATTTTCTTTTGCGATTATTATTTAACTAGTTTATGTATGTAAATTATATGTTAGTCTCATTCCCCTCCAATCATTATGATGTAAATTAGGTGTAAACATATATATATTGATTAAATTACACCAAAGTTATCAAGAAATGTTTTTTTATTTGAAGATCATTACAAAGTTCATTCCGGTGTTCAAGCGAAGCTAGCACGTGATGTGACATGAGGCGCATGTAATATGAACGTGGCTCAGATCTCTTATTTCGGTGAAACATCAAAACTCTAATTGTTTTTCTTTTAGATATATTATTAGTCATAATTTTTCTGTAAATTGACAGATCGACGTATCATGCATGTACATTATAGAGAATTGGTATGCGAATTATTATTAATCATCTCCCATGCAAAATATTATTATTAATCATAGTCGTTTTAATGGCTGGATATTGCATATAACTAATATAATTTAAGTTAGTCTTTCGTAAAAATTTAAGTTAACATGAAGGATGTGGATAGTTTATAAGAACATACACCAACAAAAATCATTACAATTAATTAAACCCATTTTGACGCAGGAACCAGTGTTGTTGTTCAGATTCATGGGGATAATAAATATTAAATCTAAGCATCACTAAAAAAAATAAACTTCAACATTTAACGCCTTCGACAGTCTATAGCAGAACTAAATGGAACTTCACTTCCCTAGGTCGATCAACACAAAGATGTAAAAATGCTCAGCAAAACGTGAAAACAGAGGCGAGGAACATCATTAGCATTAGCTTCAAGTGTCCATCTAGTATAGATGATGTTGCAGCTGAGTGGTGTTGTTCCCTGCAACAATCACAATGAAGAGTGTTATGATCCTCATCATCTAAAGGTATAGCAAAAGGGAGAGAGAAGAAAAGGTTTCAGATGAATACTTCTGCAAGTTTTCAAGGGCACCGCAGTAAAGGACATTGTCTGGGGGATCCATCTCTGTCTTTCCATCCTCTTCAGGGTTTGTGATCCGCATATAAGTTTCTTCACCAAGATACCATCTGTCAAGATTCTCTACTCGAATGTTCCAAACTCCGACATTATCAAGGGAAATAAGTACAGCCGTCCATCCCCCTGGGTATACCTATATAATAATAATAATAAAACCACTAAGAAAACCTGCAAAACAGAGTAATTTGAGCGATGCTACAGTCCATGAACCTCGATTGTGCTTCTTGAGATGGCATCCCAGTTGTTATATGAACCCTTTTTGTCTTCTGACCAAATACCAAACTCCATCCTGGATAACATGGTACATCAACACCTGACTTTTGATAGATATTATAAGGAAGAACAAGAATAATTCACAAGGTCTCATGGTTTCTCTTACCCAACAACAAAAAATGAATAGCCATCAACATGAAAGCTCTGGATCTTGGTGTCGTTGTTCTGGAATATAACTTGTATAAATCCCTTGTATGTTGCGTTGATCATAGATCTGTCCAAACGAGGAGGTCTATTAAAAGGTTTCTCAGGGAAGTCCAGCTTATAAGCTCCTTTCACTTTATTGCGATCAGCAAGTCTCACTGGAGTGCTTGGATTCACAAATGATATCCCATTAAGTGTAGCGCGAAGAGCACCGTTAATTGTTGTTGGAGGCAAACTTCTCAAAATGTATGTATTAGTGATGTTTATTTGACCATAATGAAATGATCCCTGCGGATTTGGACGAGCTCCACTAGCAGATGTGTTTTGCCTGTAAATTAAAATAGTCAGCTTCACTGGGACAAGAATGTAGTTGTAGTAACAATAAGAGGTATTCTATGCACTTGCACCAATAATCTTTTAAAACAAACCTGATGGCCTTTGGCTGGCCCATTGCTGACCACGGGCTAGAAACATCGGTTTTTGGAACTGGTAGAGGACCAGAAACAGGTCCTTGGGAATTAGAATAATGGAGAATGGCAACACCAGTGACTCTTTGCCACACTGTTTCATTCACAAATCTAGCACTGGCAACAATGTAGTAGTCACTCGTGGCATTTTGGTCCATGGTTACCAAGAAAGAATAAGACTGCCCTACATGAACATCAAAATCAGTAAAGTTTGCCTGTGAAGTATAGTGACCCTCGGTTTCCACCAAAAGCAAATTGTGGTTCTGAATCCTGAAGTTCAAGCTTGTCGAGATCCCAACATTGTGTACACGGATTCTGTATGTTTTTCCTGCAAAATATAACACCATTATAGCATAATAGAAAACTAATGATTTGCAGTGAATCTCGAAAAATCTTCTTAATCTTATTCTAAAGACTGAAGATGTGAACTTTTGAAGTACCATCTTTACAAAATGTTCAACTACATGCAACGGCTACTCATGAGCTCTAAGTAGAAAAAGGAAAAAGAGTATCTTAGAACAACACAACTAACTGAGACTGGAGACTCAGCACAGGAAACTCTTCAAACAAAATGTTACTAGGATGCAAAAGAAAGTGACAAGAGAAGATTCATATGTCTCATGAGATAAAGTGAAAGCAAAAATTCCTCAGAAACTCCCAACAATTTTACCTGGTTCAACATGAAAGGTTAAGTAATCAATCCCATCAGGTACACTACTGTTGTACTTGTAAGGACCCTTTCCATTGATGAGGACTCCATCTGGCATCCCAAGATCTTTCCCAGAGTCGAGAATTCTCCTTAATGCCTGAGAAGCAAAAGTACCTTAGGTATATATATATATATATAGAACATGGTTACTTCTACCAAAATGCGGAAAAAGAACAAATACCAAAGTGAGGATTACTTACTTTATGGTCCTGAGTGTACCAATCACCAATAATGAAGATGAGTTCGCCGTCAGGCTGTGGGAAAGGGATAGGGATGATGTTACGGTTATTAATCACGATGGGACCAAAACCCCCAGATGCTCTCTGAAAGTTGAGTGAAGGGGAGTAGAAAAAGCTTCCAATCTGATCCTTCACTTGGAATTGGTAAGTAAAGTTCCATCTGGGAGGAATTGGGCAATTTGTGCCAAGAACACCATCTTGCCATGAGTTACGCCGCATTTGGATGCCAGGCCTATTCCAAGATGACCAATGGAAGAAACCAAAGAAGCATATTACTCTTTCGAAACTTCTATGATAAGGAGGTAAAAAAAGAGACAGGGCTCTTGGTCTCACCAAGTCAAGAGGAGAGGCTCATCCAAATGATTGAAGACGTTAACAACAACATTGTAGTTGGTAGTAGCATTAAGCAGAGGCCCTGGAAACTGCCCATTGACAGCTATAACCTGAATATACAAAGTTAACACCAAATCAAAGAAGGCTAACCACGTACTCAAAAACCAATCTTTTTATGCCAATCAACATTTTCATATAACAGGAATTAAAAGTTGAATTCCTAAACCCATATGTATCACAAAACTTGAGATTCTATGGTAATGGGGTTAAAATCAACTTCAGTAACCCTCTTTAGCAGTACACAGAAATAGAAGGAACCCATCACTCTCCCAAACCCAAAAGACAATTTTTTTTCGATAGCCAACTCAAACGCACTGTATATTTAGATCCATAATTACGAACACGAGCTTCAGAAAACTGAGAAACCTATAGTATTTACAGACGCCATTGAATCTCTAAATCGAAAGCAAGGACCTTTATTAAAACAGTGAGACTTTTAGGAGAGAAAAAAGGGGGTAAGAAGGAAAGCGAACCTGTTGAGGAACGCCGAGGGGAGAAGCGGTGATGTAAGAAACTTTGAAGTCGTAGGAGACAAAAGGGTCCGCGGCGAAAGACACGGCGGAGAAAAGAGCAAAGCAGAGGAGGAAGGAGACGGCGAGCACAGAACAAGTCGCCGCCATAAAGTTGGGGTTTTTCTTTTGTTAAAGCTAGTTCGTGATCAGAAAGCTAAGGAATTTGACATAAATAAAGAGTGAAATCGAAACGGTAGAGAAGACGAAGCAATGTGTTGAAGTGTCAGTGTGGGTTTTTTGAATTTTTTCTTACAAGACACTGGAAATATGAGCTACACTCCAACCTTTTTTATTATTATTATTTGTTTTCTTTTGATCTTATTAAGTAGTAATACTTTTTTTTTCTTTCTTTTTTTATCATTCGTGAAAAGAAAACTTGTACAAAAAAAAAGCTTTCATATTTTTGTATTTTCCCTTCAGTGCCAATGTACTTTTTAATTATTTGTTTTCTTTTGGCCTTATTTTAGCATATTTCTTTTTTTGTTCATAATTAAGTTCGATAATAAAATTTGCATCAAAAAAGAAGAAGAGGAAGAAGAAAAGGTTAGATTTTCACCCAAATAAAGAAATACATTACCTTTAAACCAAAGTTCTGAAAAAGCTTTTCATATTTTTGTATGTCCATTTCTGTGCCAATGCACCTTTTTGGGGTTTATCTCTTACCAGCAGTGTACATTAAATTTGAAAGGAAGACCGTTTGAAAAATGCAGAGATTAAGGAGACGACCTTTAAACATATGCACAGAAGAATGTGCGAACATAATCACCTGTTTTTTATTTGCAGTTGTGTGTTTATCATTTCCTTGGTCGGGATTGTAATAATTTTTAATAAATACTGAGATTTTGATCTAATTTGCTTTATTGTTTATTTGTTTATGCTAACTACCTCATATATTTTTTAGTTATGACTTATGAGAAACAGGTAAACTTGTTTAATGAAGGAACTCGACGTAGTCTTAGTAGTAGTAAAGAGTTTATCGAACTATGTAGATAGTCTAGAAGGCGTATTAAACTGCTAACAGATGATCTGGCTTCTCTTTTGCTAATGGCAATTTACACACGGCATGGACATTATGATAAAGTTGGTTCCTTCCTTCGAAAGAAACAATCTTTTTTTTTTTTACTTGATGTTGCGTTCAAAGCACCAACATGATACTTTTATATTGGCTTTTTTCAAATAGACAATGCAAATATAATCGAAATGGTTATGACAAATATCAAATCTGAATTGGTTTCTTCGATAAGATTATGTTTCTCTATCTGTTACGTCATATAGGAGGATACTTTTAAGTTTTTCAGAAGGAAAAAATATTGAGTTTTACAGATTTGATAATATACTACACTACATGGCTATTGGATCAATAGCAGTAGATTCTTTAATTCACTTCTTTTTATTGTAAATTACACATTCTTATACAGTAGAGGTAGCAGAAGCTAAAAGAGTGGTTGGTTACTCTCCCTCTAGATTGGAGCCTGAGGCCAGACTGCGACAACATATCTCCAGACCACCAGGGCATCATCACCATATGTAAATATCCGAACTTATTTTTCCACAAGAGAGCAACAAGCTATAGACTAGAGCCTCTTCTTCTCTATATCAAGCACATTGCCTTATGTTTACAGCAGGTGAAGCTTGGAATATTGGGTGGTGTCTAAGACTTGTGGCCAAGGATATGTCCCCAATCATTAATCTATACCTAAGGTTGAAATGGAAGTGCAGCAAGTGCCTTAGTATATTTTACACAAACTATCGTCACATCTGGAGAAGATTGTTCACTGTAACAGCAACAGAGTTTGTTCTCTGCAGGTCCTGCAAAAAAATTGAAACCCAACAGGTTCAAGTATCAACTCACATGAATTTTAGAACTGAACTATTCACTTAAGGACCAGTCAAGTGCACACAAGAGACCAAGTACCGGACAATGGTGGTTCAGGCAAATTAACCACATAAATAAAGTGATAAAATTTGGTTTCATGTATGAATATATGAAAATCGCTCCTTCCAGTCAATGCGGAAGACAATCTAAATGAACCACCAAATCAACCAAGTATGCACTTCCCGTCAAAGCTTTACAGAATATCCAGTATGCACTTAAAATTTACCTGGAAAATAATTTCATCGGGCACATGTGGCATGACTTCCCTAACTGTCTCGGCCATTGCTAGTATATTTGCCAAGCTTTCATTTGTCGTGCTTGATACAGTTCTCAGATGCAGACCACCTGTCCTTCCACCAGTACCAGGAGGTACGGTTGGAGAAGAAGTGGATGCTTGAGAAGGGTTCAACGGCCATAGACTCCAAGCAGCATCGTCAAGTGCAGTTTGAGCATAGCTTTCGCCAACAGATGCAAGATGCCTCATCATCATCTGAACCCGCCCTATTCCAACTGACCTGGAAGCAGTAGAGGACCCAGCGACATCAGAACCCTGACCTGACCATGTCTGCAGCCAGCTTGGATCCAATCCTAAATTCCTATTTTGTGAAAGACAAGGATGAGAACTTGTACAGACCAGTTCAAAATGCAACTCTTTACAACGAATCCAAGGAAAATGCTTAAATAGTGGTCGCCACAACTCACAAGATATAATACTTGCTAGACAAATTTGCTTTTTCAGATAATGTTTTAATTTAAGGGAATGCAAATATAGTACATTAGCACCAAGATCAAGGGAGTCACAGGAAAAGGATCATTAAGTTATGAATAAATTGTTATTTTGGTGTATTCAATAAGAAAAGTAATAAAGAAGAATGAACTTAACCTTGAAGTATCATTTTCGACAGAATTTGGCACCTCTGTAGGAAATAATCCAGTGGCTAGTGCATGTACAGGATTGTTTTGTCTTTCAAGCTGACGGGCTAAGTGCTCATCGCTTGACACTTCCACTGTGTGAGGGTTCACCTCACTCTCATTTCTACCAACAAAAAGAGGCTTGCGACATGTAGGACAAGAATAAACCTCATTTAGACCTTGATCCAACCTGCCAACATCAAAACATCATCAGAATCATCAGTTTCAGTCATAAAGACAAGAGGCTCTCGGTATTTAGCTAAGCACACCAGGATCGCAGGCATCCAAGATGGAAAAGGTGATTGCAGTGAAGCCTTTTAGCCTTAGCCATAGGTTCCTGTTCATTCATACTGTAGTTTAAGAGTTTGAGATTGCAAAAATTATATGAAAATGACTATAGCAGAAGCATACCCGACATATAGCACATTCATCATCATATGCCCTTAACTCTTCAGAAGTTGCATCAGGGAGGGCTGCATGGAGAGCACCCAGAGCTATTCTTAATTTAATGTATCCTTTTATTCGTTTCAAAATTGCACTTAGCAATGCCTGCCAAACCAAACACAAAACCAGGTAAAATATACAACAATTGAATGCTGTGACTAGTGTCAACTATCAGGTAACCATGAGAGTGACAGTGTTTTAAAGAAAGCCAGTTAACAAGCATACACGTATGTTGAGAAACAAAACTGCATCCACCAGATGAAAGGCAATGCCATGCAGCCACCAAATGTGCAAATAATGACCTAGTGCCATTACCAAAGTAGCCATGTCCAGGAAGAAACCAAGGTTACGGTTGAGGAGACCCTTCCATTCCAATAATGAACCTATCCAAAAATAAGAGTTTACCTTAAGAATGGAGTTCCAGTCAACCAAAAATGTCCACAGGAATGCATTCCCGGGCTCTAATAGAAAACATAGCATAACACCAAACTACCTGCTGTCATGGAATCGAGAAACTTAGATCTTTGGCAGTCTGAGTTCTTGACTACTAAGTGGTTAATCCACATATCTAGCAGCTGAAACCCATGAATTAATAGCGCCTGCAAAAAATTCCGATCAGCTCTATATTTTTTCGACCATGGCTACAAAAGAAAAAAAAACAAGTAAGACAAAGAAGACAACTAAAATCAATTAAGTACCTGCAAGGTCTCAAAAGCTATGCTGCATGGCTCAAAAAGTAACAATAGATACACAGAGGAACCAATTGTATTGTATGTCATAAGGGAAAGTTTTATCCTGTAAGATTGGAGGAGAAAAGTAAATCCTTTTATTCAACATATCACCCAGACATGCTTGAAATTGGTTACTAAAACTGAAAATGTTATTACACAAAGAGATCAAACAAGAATCCTAACTGGACTGCAGACCACAAAACATAATGAACTCACACAACGTCTTTCTCGCCCTATGTCATCCACATTTCACTCAGGAGAAGTTTTTGCTTTAAACTCACCTTCGAGCAGAGTTCATACTATATGAATTCAGGATAGCATCTCTCTTATGTTATCCTGAATTCAACCTATGCACTCTCTTATGTTGTTAAAGAACTTTATGAAGTTGATCTTGATGGGCTGAGGTAAATCTAGAGAACATTCTACTCTGATCCTTTAACATAATCAGGAGTGTTTGAGAAGAAAATAAAGTTGTATATAGGATCGAGATCGACTTCCAGGAGCACCAAATTTTACTATAAATAACGAGCGTCAGCCACGTAGTTTAACTTTTTTTACCTCCTTGTTAATTCACACACTACCTAAGTTTTGTTTAAGTTCATACAGAGTCCAAGAGAACCTTGAACTGAAACATGACTTCTATAGTTTAAGGTCATAAACAGACAGATACTGCAACAATTGAATATGACACTATACCACAAGCTTTAGGAAATACCACAATATATCAACAGAGAGGACCACGAACAGTACTGAATACACACGAAAGTATGTCCAAGGTGTAGAAGAAGGAGATGCATTCAATCGTTCAAGCCGATCTCTAGCCAAAGCTTGAAACATCTACAGGACATTACAAGATACACATTAGGGTGTCTGAAAAAGATAATTCAGAACTTAGTTTCTCGTAAATCAAGAACGCCCAGTGTTCAATACCTTTAAAGTACATAGAACAGTCAACCAAACTGTCCACAGTACACCCTGAAATATTGTTGGGGGAATCACCAGTGGTAGAAACGTACCCTAGGGACAGGAGGATTAGAAGGGAGAAAACACAATTAATAACTACATACAGATATCTGCAAATAACTCGAATCACGGATATACTACACAAAGTTGTAAAGTGCAAGAGGAAATGACGGGAAAATGTGGCAGTATCATTTGCCTAAGTAAAGACCTCTCTCAAGCCTCAATAACAAGTTTCTTCTCTTTTTTGCTCTGCCCTTATGATAAATATTTCATTTTTTTCGTGACACGGTTAGAATATTAAGTAATGAAAAACTACCAAGAATATCTCATACAAAAATCCGACTGTAGGTTATAGTATGTCACAGTCCAGTTTTCAAGCAGAGTAAGAACAGGTACCTTGTAAATGATATAATTGGCAAGTCGCTCCACCAACTTTTTCGTTTCAACGTCATATAAATCTCCAAAAAATAGAGTCTACAAAAGATGTTTAAAAGACATTAGAACCACCAACAAAACGGTCACAAGACAGTTCCAGGAACAGTTATACAATCAGCATGCTATGGTAACAAACAGAATGAAATTCTTCATTTTTGTTTCATGCAAGATATTTCACTAGCTGGAGACGCGAGTTTGAATCTCACAAATTAAGAACACTTGCTTCTTATGAAAATTAATAATTGTGTTTTCGAACGTAACTAAACTAAGAACTGTAAATTGGTCTCTATTCCAACAGAAAATAAATCAGTGGTGCAAGTCTCAAAACTTTAAATGCATAATTTTTTTCCCCAAAGCACAAGTAAAAAACCCTTAAGAATAAGAGTAACAAGTACTGAGACACCTCTGCACCAGAGACTAAAGTAGATTAGGAGGCAAAAAAGCTCAGTATAAGGATATGAGAAATTTCATAGAGGTTCTTTAAGCTAATGAAGTTTGGAAGTTCAAACCGATTTGGAGGGAGCCTACGATAAGATAAAGTCTACGAAAGCTAAATATCAGAAAAAGTCACTGCTTAAATTGCATCCTAGAAGTAAAATGTTACTCTTTAAGTTTTACCTTGAGAGAAAGTACGAGAAGAATATACACATTGAGCACAAAATTTGTCAGCAGGGCAATAGTAAAGTAAGAGCCGAGAAGCAGGTCAAGTGCATGCTCGGAGTCTCCTAAAGAGATGTTCTTGGCTATGAGGCCATCTGATCTAAGTCTATCGAGAGACAACTCTGTCCAGACTTGAAGGCCCACAAAGCTCAAAGCTGTTGATGCTACCGAGACCGGCAAGTACCTTATCCCCATTAGGAACTATAACAGCCTTCCCACTTAAATTTAATCCCCAGAATCTCATTTAGTCATATTAGCATGACGCCATCTGCAGCAACGTAATCTCTCATAAGTATTAAGACTTGGAAGAGACAAACAACCACAAGAACAGTGATCACACGGTCGATTTCATGAAACAAAGATACGATTTTTACGAAAAAAAGTTTGACCATTTGCAATCAGAAAACAAAAAAGAGAAGATTTTTACAGAATCAACACACAATTGAGCTCCAGAGAAGCAAATAACCAAAAAAATAAAATGGATTCTTTGTAGATTGAGTCACATGTGAAACTGGATTTGTAAAGGACCCGATAAGCCGGAAAAGATGTGATCCCAGAGAATTTTACAGGTTGAAACCATTAAATAGAAATTCAACAATGAAGAAAGTGAGCTGAGGAGAAGATTCAAAGGACGAATAAAATGCAGATAGCAGCAAAAAAGAAAAAAAAAAACAAAGAGAGATCAGAGTTGTGCAAACCGATCGAAATCACACAAAAGACCTGAATCCCACGAAGCTGTCGGTTGGGAAATTTCTTAAAAGCACCGTGTCAGCGTGCCTCTCTGTCTTTCTCTCGATCGAGAGAATCGAAAAGTAGAAGTGCAAAATTCTATATCTTCTTCTTCTTCTTCCTCAAAATAAAAGTATTTTTATTATTACAACAAAACTGATACGGTCAACACATGTTTCTTTTTTTCCTGGGGTTATTTTTCAACAATTATATGTTACCAGCAAAATTATAATTAAACTCATATATAATATGGTTTGGGTGAGAAACCAAATACTCTACTTCTATGGTTATGTGAACATTATATAAATAAGAATCATGGTTAACGCATCTAAAAGTAAAGATAATTTAATATTTTAAGCTAACACTATGTAATTTGATATAGACACGCCGACAGATTTGAATATGACCAAAATTAACCAAAACCACCTTTATGTCATTAAGGTTTCATTATTTTACGAACTATATATCGTTAGGTGCACAATTAACCAAAAACACCTTTATGTTGAAAGTGAGCCCATGTACAAACTATATAGTCCTTATTTTAACTATACATGGGCCATAAAGGCCCATTAATGGATCTTCGGTTTCCAGAATTCTCGAGCTCTTCTTCGCTGAGTTTCGCTTTTAATTTCCGCGAGTCTCTCTCTCCGATCAAATCACTCCAATTCAAAACCCCTAATAAAACAATTCCGATCTACGTTCGCACCGGAGTCTGAGGAGCTCGTGGCGGAGAAGAAGAAGAAGATGGGAATAATAAGGAGCAGCTTCTCTTTCATCTCAGGAACAGTGTGCGGGATCTACATCGCTCAGAACTACAACGTCCCTAACATCAAAAAGCTTGGACACTGCGCCGTTTCAATGGCCAAGCAACTAGAAGAAAAATATCGCAAACCCAAAAGCAGAGACGACGTTTGAGTTACTCCGGTGAATTCGCCGTTCTTGTTACTTTTTTTTATTTGTTTCTGCTTTTACTGTTTTGAGGGGATTGTAAAAAAATTCATAGAAGAAATTTGACAATCAAATTAAGATTCTTTTTCTCAGATTTTAACAATTTTCAGCTGATTTGATCGGTTTTATCGCTTTCTACTTTCAAATTCGGTAAATTTTATTCTCATTCAAACTTTAGAAATGAAGACATGATCAAGTTAACAGACAGAGCTGGGAAAAAAGGAACCAACTTTAAAAGAGAAAAAAAGGTGTCTCGCTTGTGAAATAGTTAGAGCAAAAAAAAACTCAAAGGAGGACATCAATGGGAGCTCTGGTTGCTGGTGATGATGATGATGCAGCTACTTCATCTTCTGATCCAAACAATATAGCTTTGACTTCTGCTATGATTAGTTTAGTGAGCAGCAACCCAGAGATCAAAGCTGCAGTCATCAACATGTAAAACACTGCGTCCCAGCTTATGGCAGAGATGTAACCAGTGAGTACTGGTCCAATCGCTGCACCTATGGATCCTGTGCCGTCTATGATAGCTGTTACTGTAGCCAAAGCCCTGGCATTGCCTTTAAGAGATTTGTGTGTTCCGAGATCAGCTGACACAGCTGTTGTGATGAGAGCAAATGGTCCATTGACAAAGACTCCTGATGTGAACATGAGGATGACATTGATGGTCATTGAGATATGTCCGAATACTCTGTAGAGGAAAAGAGCTGGGATCGCCAAGTAGATGAATCCTGCTGCTGTGATGGCTCTGCCGTCCAGTTGATCAGAGATGTACCCGGCTAAGACTCCTCCAACCACGCCTCCAACATCGAATAGTGTCGACAAGTTTCCTGATGTCTCCTCAGACAGGTACTCTCCTCCGATCACTGCATCACGTAATTCGGACAATTCCTATATCAAGGCTACAACTTTGAGGTTTAAGTAAAGGAGAAATGATGAGAAGAAACATACTGTTGTGGCTGACATAGAAAGGAAGCCAGTAGAGGAAAGTGTATGAGACCAACTTTGTGAAGAAGAGGCAGAACGCGAAAGGAGCAACACCGGGAATTTTCCAAGCTGCCATGAACCCGATTGCTTGTCTATCGAATCCAGTACTCATTCTAGATTCCAAGAAGCTCTCTGTAATGGTGTCACCGAGCCTCATGGTGGAGTCAATTTCAGTTCCATCTCTCTCGGCCTCAACAGTTGGAGGGTTCACCGGCAAGAAAAGGTAAACAACAATTCCAAGAAAACTCATGAGCAAAGCCGGGCCAAGAAATGACCAGCCCCACCCGTACCTAAGCAGACCGGATGCGATCAGAGAGCCTGTGATGTTACCGAGGGAAGTGTGAGCACTCCAAACACCCATAATCATTCCTCTTCTTTTCTTATCGAACCAGTTCCCGAGCACGGCCACAACACAAGGCCAGCCTATCGACTGAAACCATCCTGCCATAACCTGAACCGCCAAGAAATAGTAGAAGCTGTGGAAATCAGCCCAGAACGCAACCCCAAAAAGAGCTGTGAAAAGGCCGGTCCCGATCATACCAATAGTCAGAAACGTCCTGAGATCCAAACGGTCGCCCAAGTGACCAGCCACAAACATTCCAACCGCATAGACAGAGAGGAAAGCCAAGTCAATCTGCCCAAGCAAGGCTGGTCCATCGGGTCCATCAAAGGGTGCCCAACCGCCTTTGATTGTTGATGCGGAAAGTGTTCCCTTGACAATGCTATTGGGCTTTCGGGCAGCATGGAAGGCGATATAGGCGACAAAGGTCAAGATAAAGACAAGGGCTTGGTACTGCTTGAAGGAGAGTCTTCCTGAACGCTTAAACCGTTCCAAGAACTGAATACCCCATGGCTTGGTTTCTTCATACAGGAATTGGGATGAAGTCCACGACGCCATCTCTTTAACAACTCCTCACAACGCCAAAACCTGAAATCAGATGAAGATGTGAGGTTATTGTCTATTCATCCATACTTGTAAAACAAGAATTCTCAACATCTCGTAAACTAGCAGAACAAAATTTATACAGAAAACTAAAGAGAATGTAGAATGAACCTGTGGAATTTGGATCACCTTTTGAAATTTGAACAGAGGAGAGAAAAGTATCTCTCTCGCTCTTACTTTCGCAACTCCAATGGTGAGAAGCTGGGAGGGAAAAAAACTCACTACTTAAAGAAAGTGAAACTGGCTCATTTTGAATAACTTATTTTGCCCCTTTGCTGTATTTTACATTGACCAAGCTCTCTGCTTCACTGGCCTCTAAAGTTATAGATTTTTTTTTATTTTATCATATGTGTTATTATAATATTCAAACTTCGCTAACTAGAAACAAATCAAACGCTAGAAGACGATACCATAGCAATATATAAAATCTTTCAACACAGATGATGAACTATTTAACTATAGTTTTATGTGAAGTAGCATAGCAAGTCGGTGTCCGATCTATCGTTTGTGCCCGCACGTAAGAACATCAAAGCCTTTTGACTCTAACTCGTTTCTGCATCCTAACATTCAACTCGTTAATTGTTTAATTTATCTACACAACTAAAGATAATATTCTTTGGAATGCTACTTCTTTTTGATGTCCAAATTCATTTTGCTTAGTTCATAGGAAGATGTCAACAAATAAATCTTTTTAAATATTAAGCATTTGAAAATGCTTTGGAAAACAGTACTATACAAAAATGACTAAAATTTTGGAGATAATGTATTTGCAAAATAAACCTGTACTAACGACAAAACGTTTCAGAAAATAACATCTAGAGAATGTTCCTCTTATGATGGAGCAAGGTCATTAAAATAGTCACTTGCTTCTTTCCCCCTTAATCTAGAGTATAATATGCATACGTAATAATGCTGCATCGTACATGGTAGAGATATTACATAGTTAAGTTTATATTGTTGAAGTTGTGTGTGGTTATCTTAATGTTCGAATATGTAAGATTTTTTCCTTATGGGGTATGAGAACTTTCAGAGAATACTTTTGAAGCTTTCTTGTGAAAATGATTTGGAAAACTTGATGACTTAGAGATCTTCTTTTTTCTTCTTGTTTGAGAGAAGCTCATGGTATCATGCTGACCTTATGGTTTTAACCTTTGATTGAAGCATCGCTCTGCTCTTCTTGTAGCATATTCTAGACAAGGAGTAAAGTATTGAACTATGTCGTTTTTAGCTATTTTTCATATTCGCCTGGAGATCAAGGTTCACGGAACAGGTTCTAAAAAGAATGGGACAAAACCGCAGTCGGATTATAAAGGCTTCGAATCAGACCAACATGATTCTGTAGAACATTGTATAGGTGTGCAGGTATCATTCTAGTCTGTAATGGATACGCAAATTGCAAATTCCATGTGATGATGAGTGTAGCTTATTAGCTAGTCACCAGCAGAACTTCACAAGGAATGCAAATGATCCACACATTGACAAGTCATTTCACAGCTCTTAATACCAAAGAGCTAATGAGGCCATTCCATTTTCCGGCTAGTTTCACAGAAACTGAACAAGAGGAATAGAGAAAGGGTCTTATACCCAAAACAAAGCATCCAACATATGGGTATAAAGAAAATACGACAACGAATTACAAAAGGATTAGTTCCACAAGCTATAAAATGCACATTACAAAAAGACTCAAAGATGCATAATAGAGAGTAAAAAGTCAAACCGCTCAGGATTCATAGGCCTTAAATATCATCTTTGCAGTTTCGTTGACGAGCTCAGTCCTCTGCAAACATAGCTCCATCTGCTTCGCCTTGAGCTTCTTCCATTTTTCCTCCACTTTTGTCTTCTCTGCTCCGTCGGCAACCTTTTTCCAAACCGCAGTAACTGTGGATTCATCTAAACAGCAAGAACTTGAATTCTCTGCGTTGAAGAACAATGCTATCTCCCTACCAATGGAGAGACCAGTGTTCACAGCCTTGGCCTCTGTTTTTTCTGGTCTTTTCGCTTCTGCTGGTTTCTTGGGAGTCGAGTGAACTACTAACTTCATCTCTTTCGGGGCTTTCGAGGCAGGGGTTCCTCCAACTTTCTTCCTTGATTTAGAAGTCATAACACCATTGCTTCCCCAAATCTTTCTAGCCAATTCAAAGGACTTTTGGTCAATATCCTTAGGAAACTGAATCTCATCTTCACTCTTCCCCTTTTTAAGAGACTTCTTCACTGTATTCGTAAACTTCTTCTTCAATCTCTGAAGCTTGGTTACTATTTGGCTTTTGGTAGCATCGAAATCGATCAACTTCTTCACATAAGAGCAAAAGGCGTCACTGTCGTCATAAGGATCACCTTTGGTAGAAGTGAAATCAAGAACACCTTGAAGCAAGGCAATTTCATCAGCCTCGCTGAACAACCTCTGGAACATCTTCTTCGCATCTTCTCCAGAAATCTTCTTAGCCTCATCATTTGTTTTCGGCACCTTCACGTGCTCAGTCTCGGATGTCTTCAGCTTCTTATTAGTTTCGGGCTCAGCTTCCTTCGAAGGACGCTTAGCCGTTGAACTCTCAGGTACAGCCACAGCAGATCCAGAGGCCTCTGCTTTGGCTTTGGCCACAACAGGCTGCTTGTTCGTCTTAGCAGGCTCGGGGTCAGGTTCGGAATCGGACTCAGACTCAGACTCGCCTTCGGATTCAGATTCGGGCTTCTTCGAAGACTCGTCTTTCTTCGAAAGCTCAGCAGAAGACTCAGACTCTTCTCCAGACGAACCAGATTCTTCCTCTTCACTCGAAGAGGCCACAGGTGGGTTGTCGATCACTTCCGCCTTCTTCGGTGCCATCGAACGCAATCAGGAGACAGAGATCTAAGAGCGGCGAGAGTCTCCTTGCTTGTTTCAGCTATCTCTTTTTTATTTTCACGTCGCCGTCGATTTGCTTGCTGTTAGGTCTGGTGATTTTAGGTTAACTTGTCGGGTTTTGTTTTGTTTTCCCTACTTTTTTTTGTCGAACGAAACACATTCGAGTTGGGCTTGCCAACACGCGATATTCCACTCCCTTTTACCCTAACGGGCTTCGGTATTTTACGAGAGTTTCAATAGACCAGTCCGTCCCGATACCTCGACCTCAGATTTCGTCTTCGGGTCTTAGAAAAGACCTTTATGAAATGTAGAAAATTAGAAATTGATGGTTAACTACAGTAATAACTAGCATGATCTACTTGATTTGGAAACTTATTAACTTGTGCTAAATTTGGGTTTAAGCAGCAAATATTGATGTCAGCAGAAACGAAAACCATGGTTTCGAGAAACGTAAAAGAGATTTCTTTAAGTCAGTCTACAGCATCGACCGTGTACCCACTGGCCAAAACACACGCTTTTTATTCAAAAGACAACATATCAACAAAACAAACGCAACACTAAAAGAAAACGTAGGCATTTCAGTTGATTTCAATCTGACGCACATCGTTACGCTCTGCTTCTTTCATCTTCGGAATCACCACTTTCAAAACTCCGTTCTTCATCTCCGCCTTAATCTCATCGATCTTGTAAATCTTCTCCGGCAATCCAATCCGGCTCGTGAATTTACGGCTCCCGCTCTCTCCTTCCTCGCCACCATCTTCTTCTTCGTATTTCCCTTCTCCTCTAATCACCAAAGTGTCCTGTTCCAGAGCAAGCTTCACATCCTCTCTACTCAGCCCAGGCATGTCGATCCTCAGGTACAGAGCATCTTCTTTCTCTTTGATATCCCAACCACGACGAGCTCCTGAAGCTCCCATGCCTCGCGTAGCTGATAGCAGAGGATTCTCCATAAACTGGTCCATCAGATTCAGCACCTGACTAACGCTTCTCGTCGGCGAGAATGGATCAAACACATCTACACGAAATCAATATAAAAAATGTTAATAACATTATACAACATACGATTCTTCGTAAACTTTAGCTCAATGTTAGCTAATCTCTAATTTCATCACTATTTTTAGTACCTCCACAAAGTTACAGTCTACACAAAGTGCAACAGTACTATAAGCAGTTCGATTCGTCAAATTTTCAGCTGAATCCCTGATTTCGTTAAGATTTTAGAGCCGTAAACACAAATTCAGACACAGATCTGGATGTAAATCTAGACGAGTACCTGAGAAGAAATCACCACGGCGGCGAGAAACAGAACGATCAGAGCGCCGGTCTAGATCGTCGCCGTCGTCGTCATAGCTTCTTATGGCGTTGGTGTTGAAAAGGCGAGAGGAAACCAGAGGACGAAGAACGCTGCAGGAACGTGGAAGGATGGAGGAAGATACAAGTCTCTTAAGAGCGAGAGAAGACGCCATCTCTGATGTCTGTGTTAGAAATAAGAAAGCTTTTTCGAGAAGGTTTAACTGAGAGTGTAGTGTTTTTCTCTGATCACTGTGTGTGGCGAAAATGAGGACAGAGGAAGTTATATATAGGAGTGAAAGAGTAGAAGGGTGGATATTATGATGATCAGGTAAGTGACTGAATGTTCTGGAGAGATGGATATATCTCCGGATGGTTCTAGAGGTTCTTGGCTCCCAAGCTAAAAGTGTAATAACAATTAAACTTGTATCTTGTTCACTAAGAGGCCCATCATATTTGGCCCATGTTACTCAATTCATTGGTTACCTGGTCAGATGACCATGAAAAGGTTGTAAAGGTGGACACACAAATAATACCAAAGGTTTGTATATGTTTCTTCTGTTACCAAGACCATATATAATCATGAATATGGGTTTCACATACAGTTGACGAAAATGCTTACTGCAAAGAGAGATTGGAAGCTTCATTCAACAGACTTGATATAAACCATGAACCCAAAAGAGATACACATAAATGTTTTGTTACAATTATCATCGGCGATGATATATCAATAACAATGAGAGTTGGCAAGGAAGCGGCCACCAACCACTGAACGTGGGAAGATACGGTTCATACAAACATTCATTCGATAAGATAACTTTTTCTAAGATAACTATTTTCAAAACAAAAACAAAACATTTTACGTATATATATCGGTCTATATACTGACTGCGGAGGCCAAGAGTTCGACGCTTTTTTTTTTTTTTTTCCTGGTTACCGATTAAAGAGTTTGACGCTATCTTAAGTTTTATTTGCATTCAACGTAGATTAGATACCATATGCGGCCATTTTGAATTTATGTTTGAATGATTCTATTAATTAACCGCCATTTTGTTTAATTTTTAATTGAAAGAGATTAGATAAACAAAAGACGTGTCTATAGCTAAGCTGACCTTCGTACGATTCTGACCTTTACATAATTCTATTATAATCCCGGCCTTTCATAAAATACACTCGAAATTTAGAAAATATTTAACAATGTAGACACACTTACATGCAGAAGTGTTCTAACTGCCTCTTATACGTGCTGTCGACAACTCCTACAAATCCCCAAGCGTTATCAAGCAGATTAATTATGATTAGATGACTCGAACCCAAACTAATTTATATTTCTCAATCGTACAAACCAGTGTATATAGATTAGACGTACGATTCCTTGAACAAGCTAGCATATCTTTCTGGCTTAGTAGCTATTATAAGAGAGTCTTGCGTTATATAGTTATTATCCCTCAGTAAATAAGAAAAATGGCAACCACTAGTCGCAGACTCCGGCCTCCGTCCCCAAATATTGATCGGAGCCGGAGTATATCTTCCTCCATCTCTCTCCCGGTGTCCTTGAACGCCTCGTTATCGTCTTCTACGTCCTCCTCTTCTTCCTCTTCGCCTTCCAATTCAAGCAAACGAGTGATGATAAGCAGATCACACTCCACTACACGATCCTCCAGACCCACCGGATCATCCAACTCGAAACCCGGCGAGAGTATAATTCCTGCGAGAAACAGCGCGTCGAGATCACACGAGGCGAGCAACGGTAGAAGCAGAGAGGCATTCGCTAGGTACTTGGAGCAACGTGACCGTGGCAGTCCTCGTAATAACAACGCTTCATCGAGAGGGGTAAAAGCGGGAGGCGTCTCACCATCGGCGTGGGCGTTGTCCTCGGGGAGAGTTTCCATTATGAAGACGCCTCCGTCCAGCTCAGCTCCGGCGGCTCCAATGTGCATGACGCCGCCTGAGTCACCTGTAAGCAAAGCCAAGGTGAGAAGCGGTGGCGGTGGAGCTGTGGCCGGAGTTTTGAAGTACTTCATGGCGCAGAAGAAAGTATCTCCGGTTCAAGAAGAGGAGTATCACCGGTTTAGGGTATTTCAAAACAGATTACTTCAATGGAGGTTTGTTAACGCAAGAGCTGAAGCTACTGTGGCTAAACTTAAGATCAACGTTGAGGTACAAAACTCAATGATAATACATAAATATGTATCTTCTGATCAGTGTTAAATAATATTTACTAATTTGTGTTTGGTGATGTGACAATACGGTTTCAGGATCAGTTGTTTTGGGTTTGGCTAAGGATATACAAAATGAGGAACTACGTAGTGGAAAATATGATCGAAGTTCAAAGGCTTCGTCAAGAAATCAAATTACGTCAAGTGCTTAGCCTCCAAATGCCTTTACTCAATGAGTGGTCAAAACTAGACGCAAAAAACTCCGAAGCGTTGAGCAAACTAACTCGAAAACTCCATGCTTTGTCTCTCCGTTTACCCCTCCTACATGGTGCCACGGTTAGATATAATATTCCTTTAATATTAATTGGAAAACAATTTGCTTATGAACATTTCATGTTTTGTTCAGAAAACGAGAAAATTTATAAATTTGAAGTTACAGATAGATGTGGTGTCCATACATGAAGAAATGGTCGTAGCTATACAAGTCATGGACGAGATCGAAGACGTCATCATCAAATTTCTCCCACGAGTAAGTCCACTTTATTTTATACTATGTATAGATCTTTTACCTAAAAAAATTCTTATACACATGAATCTTATACTGTATAAGGAATTAATTTATGAATGCCTTGGTGATTAAATATCAGCAGGTTGAAATAATCTTATATGAGCTGACAGAATTGATCGGCATGTTCAATCAAGAATTGCTGTATTTTGAAGAAATTGAGAAGAGCCTTTTCTCCATTCCTATCTTTGCGGTAAGATAAATGGTTTGAATTTTATTTTCCAATTCGGATTTGAAAGCTCCAAAGGCTCTAAAGTGGTGAAATGATTGTTTTAACAGGCCAAGGAAAGTAGCTTGAAGGTCCATGTTCTCCAGAAGAATGAAGAACAGAGAAAACCTTTGCAAAATTTATAATATTTTCGTCTAATACACCAAGAGTTGAGCTTGTGTAACTAAATGTTAATTGTATTTGCCAATGAACAAGTAATACATTAATCATAAAAGATGGAACTTAACTAAATTAAATTGTTATTTTACTGATACTAGTTGAACAAAAGTATGAAAATGGTAAAAGAGAACTCAAACTATATATAATGAGAGTGCTAGTTCAAGTTATAATTTATCCAGTCATATACACATATGCTCAAGAAATTACAACTTCTTCCACCATTGTTTATTAACGTACTGTAGATATATATGAATATTTTTAATTAGAAATTGTGATGATTTAGGAGATATAAATATTGAAGAGAATAATATCGTTAAAAGCGTACTTAGATCAATTGGGATTAGCCTTTTCAGAATTGCAGAGGACCCGAGTTCGAAACCCTCCCTTCCCAAATCCCCAATTTTTTTTTCCTTCGTTTTCGAATTTCTTGCCGGCGGGCGACTGCCATGGATTCCGAGGACCACCAGAATCGCCCAATTTCCAAGGTAACCTTTCAATGATTACGTCTTCTTGTTCTCCCCTTTCGTAATTTTCATATCAAATCTAAAAAATTACGCATTTTCTCGACAGCGGAGGTTCAAACCAACACCTCCGGCGACTTCTCACCGGCCGATCGTCCCAGCTATCAACACGTAATACATTTTTTTCAACTATCGATCCTTTTTCTTGCTTTATGCATGTCGATTTCTGTATTTTTGCTTATAAATTGTGAAAGATCTATATATCGTTCTTGAACACAGCGAAGCTGAAGCTGAGGAAGATAATAAAAAAGCAGCTCGCCAGTTAGCCAAACGTATCGGCGTATGTGTAGTCCCGTTTTTTTTAAGAGTCTTTCTATTTTATTTTGTTTCCTATTTTAATTTCATGGCAAGTTCCAAATAACAGTTAGTATTAGTCTAACCATAATTTTCCTGATTAAAATAAATCAAAAATCTTATACGTTAGGTTATGATATGTATATACAATTGTGAAATGACAAGAGCTTATAACTCTCTCAGTTGTCATCATCTCCATCTGTTAATCACAAATGTTCAAAGTTGATATCTAACTTTCTTGTGTTGTTGTTGTTGTTGTTGCAGATTGGCAGGGAGAAACCCAAAACCGAAACAAAAGGTACATATGTATATGTTGTATATGTATTTACATTCTTCATTCTCTTGATATAAACTATGAGTTGTGTTTGATGGTGGTGGTGTGGTATGTATGGAATAAGTTTTAGCCGCGTTTGTTCTTGAATAAGTTTTGAAATCTTGCAGCTTCTTCCTCTGAAGTTGCTTTCCAAGCAGACTTCTCGTCACCTGAGATAAAGTCGTTTGGGGTTCCTAAAGAAGATGACAAGCGTGGTTCTGAAGTCAATCCTGATGTAAATCCCTCTTCTTCTGCTGTTATTCCTCCTCCTGTTTTATCTGCTACTGCTCGAGAAGATCAAGAAGAGCTTCAAAATTTGGTTACAAGAACCGAGGATGGCTACATTGAACCCTGGGTAACTAGAATCTTCAGATTTCAGATAGAACTTGATTTATCTCACAGTTTCTCTTTCTTTTTCTTGTGACATAAGGTTTGGCTCATTTCGTTTGCAGGATTGTAGAAACTCCTACTATCCTACTGTTCTTCCTTTGAGAAAGCCTAACTCTGGTGATCCAGGTATGTACTTTGCAATAGCTTGACGGCAACAATATGTTTATGTTATATCTCAATTCTTAGGTGTGAATATGTTAACTCAGTAAATAACTGCAATTTTCCATCAACTGGATCCCACTTCTCGTGTTGTTAGAACTGCTTGACCAGGAGGAATTTGGGGAGGTGGCTAAACACCGTGAACATAATGAGAACACCATCAACTCAGCAGAAGAACTCGGTCTGACATCGGTAATAAACTTGTAAACAAATTGGTATTGACAGACATGTGACCTCTTCACTGAGTTTGACTAATTGTATTTTCTGAGCTGCCTGCAGGTTGAACACGGCAAAGAACAGATGTTTTTCTTCAAACTTCCAGACTGTCTCCCTATAATGAAGCAATCGACAGGAACGAACACCAAGAGATCGGTACCGGAGAACAGTTCACAAAGAAGCAACCCTTTTGAAGGTTTACGAGAAGGTTTCATGGGCAAAATGCTAGTTTACAAGAGCGGCAATGTCAAGATGAAACTTGGAGATGTCCTCTTCGATGTAAGTCATTTGGTCTCATCATTATTACCTTGGCAGAAGAATCATGCATGCTTCTTTCACCATGTAGTTATTTATGTGAACACAGTAACACACATATCTGAAGCTGTGTTTGAAGCTACTCTGCTTGTACCTTTTCTTCATCTCTTTAACTCTCGATTCTATAATTCATACATGCAGGTCTTGCCAGGTCCGAATACAAAATTTCATAATGATGTGGCAGCAATCAACACCAAAGGGAGGAACTGTTGTCGCATTGGTTCTTCAGCAAAGATTGTGACCGTTACTCCTGATGTTGAGTCTCTTTTGAACACTGCTTCAGACATGGAAACACAGAAGTGAAGGTTGTTCTGGATATAGCCGGTCCTGTGCATACAAGGATGTGAAAAGCGTAGAATTGACCATTTAGATTCTGTAGCTACAAACTAATCTTCAACCCTGATCGTAAAAACTCTTCTCGGTGTCTTCTTTTGTAGTAAGAGATTCAGTAAGTGGGGTAAAAGAAAACTCTTTAACGTTTTGAAACATTCAGAGCTCTTATTACAGAAACGCAACAGAGTAAATCTTCTAAATTGTCAACAATGGAATACAAAACCAGAGATCCTCAAACAAACCACATAATGCCCTGAAAGAAAGCTAAACAAGTAGTGTCTAAGAGACAAAGACTAAGATGTATTGTCGACAAATTTGAAACGATCAAGACCTGTTGCAGGCTCTGGAAACCATCACAACCAGCAGGACGACAATGGAGAGCAGGACCGAAGTCATCAGCTTTTCCTCAAGCCAATTGTTGAATTTGGCATCTTTCCCCTTTTTGTTAACACCATCGTCATTGTAACTATTGAAGAGCTCAGCCACCACCTTTGTTATTTTCACAAACACTTCGGTGGCCTTAACCATTGTGTTGTCAAATACCCACTTTATGAAATCCATTGCTGCGTTATGCTCCTCAGGAGTGTCATCTGAATTCTCCTCATCTGTTATACGAAAAACAGAAAGACCAAACTAGGCAATGAGTTCCCTTAAAAGTCAGTCAAATGAAAAGCTTAGATTGATCAATTCATATACCTTGACTTATGCCATTGTTGTACAAGTCCCTAATCTCTCGCACCACATCGTTGTTCATCACAGCGTCCCAGACTGCTTTATCCGAGGACAGTGACACTACCATTCTCTGCAGAAAATGAGAGAAGCCCTTGAGTCATACACCCTTATTCGATATACAAACTTGAGCTTAGTGAATCAAGGAAAGAAAAAAAGGAAAAGATCACCTGGACAGATGGTTCTGTTCGCAGTAGGTCAAAAGCATTGTAAACCTGATCATAAGCATGAGGCGGTGAGATTCTTGAATGGCACAGTTGCATTGACGGCTCCATCCAGTCCAAATCCGATCCAAATGAAGGAACTTGATGAACCATCCCTGTAGCTATTGGGGTCTGGTTTCCACCACTATTGTCTGGATAACACTCGAATTTGTCTCTAACCAGCTTAGAATATGAACTCCCATCGAAAACCCTTAAAAAGAAACAAGAGTCAACAGTTTAGTCACTCCAACATGTTCATAAGAAAACAAAGACCAATGATTATGAACAGAACAAGCAAACAATTATAGAAAGTATTTAGGTACTCTATACTACAAAACAACAACGGTGTGGGGTAAAGCTGCCACGAGGACAGTTTGGTAGAGTTTCAATCTTGTTCACAGATCATCACATCAAGACAATAATATCGCAATTAGAAAGGAAAAATTAGTAAACTTTTGAGAAAATTTATCAAGCCAACAAGACAATTCTCATGTCTCTCTGACTCTCTCTATAGTCACATCCAACGAAGACACAGTTTCAAAGCGAAAAGAGAAAAGAAAAGAAAAAAAGGATTACTGCTGGAGAGCAGAGACAGCATCTTGGACTTCATCGACAGAAGGAGCAGAGCCAAACAGAGAGCCATCTTCTTCCTCTGAAACCCACTCAAAATCATCGTAAGCACCGGAATTAACAAAAGAAAAAGCGCCGCCGCCCCATCCAGAGGTTGCAGACACCGGAAGATTCAACAGGGACCCTGCAGCAGCCGCCGAAATGGTAAGGTTGTTAGACCCAGAAGACGATCCGAGTTTCTGAGCATGAGAAACAGAGGCGTTTCCAGCAGGGGACGACGTGGACGAAGAAGAAGCAAAGGGATCTTGAATTCCGCCGTTGGCTACGCCGGTCCTAGTCATAGCACGACCGGCGGCGCGTAACATACCTCCGCCGCCGCCCATAGGCCCTCTTCCTCCACCAAACATGAGACGCGATCAAAGTGGTTTTTCTTTTTTAATAAACTGACGACGACACAGGAGGTTTCGTGTGTATGTTTACTCGGTGAGTTTGTCTCTTGGTCTACCGAGTGGGGGGGATCGAGTTAAATGGGTCTGCTGCTGTGTGATGGATTGATTCTGCTGCTATTTCTTCGGTTTTATAAATTATTTACTTGAAACAGTTTTTGATGGAATCGAGGAAATGGATAAAGAAAGATTTATATATAAATGCAAAAAATGTCTCTTAAAAGATTTTCAAAGAATATCTGACTTTCCTTTACTTTTGCTTTTGGGTCCTTCTTCTCCACGACACGCTTATCCATTTACAACTCTCTTTTCTCCTTTGCATTAAAATGCAATTTAATACTTCTACTATTTGATCAAAAAAAAAAAAAAAAAAATACTTCTACTACTACCATTGTTATATAATATTAATTTCCAAAAATTTATATGATATATTGTAAGTAACTATCAGTATACGTGAGTTTCCTAAGAAATATTATACAAAATAACAAATCATATCATTTTTTTTTGGGGGCAAAACAAATCATATCATTAAGTTATAGAATTTCATATTGAATTTGGATGTGTTTGTACTGTGTACATGTTCATTTTTGGTTAGAAGCCTTAAACCAAAACCAGCACGTAATAGTTTTCTTCGTTTCTTTCGTAAACCATGTATTGGTTTAGTAGATAAACCAAAACATGATGAGTCTTTTTTCAATTTGAGTTTTGGTTGCGTTTTCAATTGGATTATATAATTTTCTTCTGTTCGTATAAATGTCAACGTGCAGTATATAGGCGTTTCTGTGTGTTGCCAAAATTTAAGTTTAACTCGCAATTTATATGTTTTTCATTTTACAAAGCAAATTATATTAAGCGGTTCTCCGTAAAAAAAAAAAAAAAAAAGAGGAAAATAAATTGTAAAGAAACATAAGCATTTGATAATGACGTGAACAATGGTTGCTCGCTCACATGCAAAAATACACAAATAAGTAATACGAAAATTAGACTCAATAGCATGAAAACTCCAAAACCAATTTGAAAGTCAGATATACATTTCGTACGGTAAAAGGACTACCCAGCATAAAATAAATCAGACTCGATTTTTTGAAATTTTTTCCCCTAAGATATCTAATCATTGAAATAAATAATAATGTGTCCAAAGTTATTTCCATATGTCCTAATCGTGTTATAGGATTCACGAGATGCAATGAAGATTTTGGCGTGGAGACACAAGACGAGTTTAGATTCGAGTTTTCCCACCTCTCATTATCAATGAGATCATACCAACAATGACATTGATATTCGTTTTTCTTCAAGTAAGAAGTAACCAATGTTTTTTTCTTTGCTTCCATTTTGGCTTAAGTCCAGGATTTTGCCAAAATTGATTAGATATGAATAAAATCAGGTCCAATTTGGCTGGTCGCGTGTTGTGCGGATTTTGCTGCTTGCAATCTTGTATTAGACCAGTTAGTTGGACTGATCAGGCTACAAACACCGCAAAATCAACAACTAGGTCAAAACTCGCTAACCGGCGTTTTAATGGAACCGGTTAAAGCACTGTCCAAATGCTAACCAATGGTTTAGTTTGAACTCTACCATAAACAAAGCAACAAAACAAACGACATGCATGGTCAGCGCACAGTTAATGAAGTTGTATCTTTTGATAATTACTACTAGTATATCTGATGTTAGTTGATACCGGTATGAGTCCGCACCTCAGGTCCACAGCCAGGTGACTAGCTGAGTGGTGACTGGTTTGTAAGTGAGAGACCAAACCTACACAGTTTCTTATTTGCTTACCTAAAGTAAAAAAAAAAAAAAGGAATTGACACTAGAGTTTTTTTTTTTTTTTTTTTTATTTATTTATTTACAAATGCTACTGATTTCTTTTGCATAGAAGGGGAGACAAAAAGACGTGAGGAAGGGATAGGTCATGCGTGCAACTAAGGGGAAACAAACGAATTAATTAAGTTTTAGATTTTTAATAATAGCGTTGAGGAATGCAATTAATACCAAATAATTAAGGAAATAAGAGATAAACATGATTATAATAATTGCGAAGGGCCTAAACTATGATTAAGAAGTTCGTTCTTTTTAGTTCTTTTAACACACTCTCTCTCTGTCACTCTTGATAATGAAGAAAATTCTCACGAGAACAAAAAGAGTATATACCAAGACTGATCCTTTGACGATTAACATAATAACATGGACCAAGTTGTCTCATTTTCTTATTACTTGTATTGATATATTTTGTAAGATTCTATGGTTATAAGAAGCTAGCCAAAGATTGTATCCGAGATTAGCAGCACATAGCAAACGTGCGTCTTCTTCCTCGGTTGGCTCTTTTTCTTTTTATTTGTTTCTGTCATTGATTACCTTTGTGAAAATGGAAGCTTCCACCACTTCTCCACCAAGTTCCAGATGCCCAATGCCGAACTAAGGGGCAAAATTTTTCAATCTTCTCGTAATTTACGTCTTGGGTTTGACTAAAGTCTCATCCTTTATTTACCGAGGTAGTTTCAATTTCTGGGATTCTTGTATTACCCTTTAGCTCTGCTGTAGGGCTATTTCTCGTTGATTGACATTGCTAAATGTTTCGTAGTCTTGTGGATTCCTCTGCAATTGCATTGTGCTAAAAGTTGACATTTTTTCTTGGGAAGTAAAAAAAAAAATTAACTTGGAAGAGACTAGCTGTTTGGCTTCTATGGTCGTTGGGTGTGCTTAATGATGCTTACGCACTAACTTGTCCACATTATTATACTCTTGAGACATTTGACTATTAACGCCTTTAGATGTATCGCATGATTGGCATACCTCTATTGAATTCAAGCTCTTGTCATTTGTCAATACTTTTGTTATCATTCGCCATTGCTGTTTGGTTTAATTGATCATTGGTATCAATATTCAGCTACGTGAGTTTGAGTATAGTTACTGTCTGTTAATTCTCGTTGGCTGGAGAGTTTTATATGGCCTTTGGTTTTCCCTTTCTTTGTGTTATCTCTACTTTGAGAACAAAACGCTCTTTTTAGGACATTGCTTTGCAATGTCTGAAATGGTTGTAGTGTGCAGGGTAAAAGTAACAAGTAGGAAAAAAAAGATAGACAATGAGTAGATCACCAGACAAACTAGCGCTTCCTCCTCCTTCATTGTATACCGTCATTGTGGCTCTTAGTGGAAGCAGTAAAAGCAAAAATGTAGTTACATGGGCGCTCGAAAAATTTGCTCCTGAAGGAAATGTTGGCTTCAAGCTACTTCACATCCATCCAATGATTACTTCTGTACCTACACCAAGTAAATCTCCAACTATGACTTCTATTTCTGTTTCTTTCTTGCACTCAGGACTTCTTGTGTGTTTGCTTATTTCTATATGGTATATTGTGTCAAAAACAAATTGAGACTTTATTTGAACTGACAAAAGCCTGATGTCCATTTCTTGTTCCTTCTCAAGTGGGAAATGCAATCCCTATTTCCGAGGTACGAGATGATGTTGTAACTGCGTATAGACAGGAAATATTGTGGCAATCTGAAGAAATGATTAAACCTTTCACAAAAATGTTCATGCGGAGAAAGGTACTGTCGCTTACTAGATATCTTATGCTTTTCCTATATTTGACTACAACCAAAACCTCAAAGTTTCATGAACTCATTGAATTACCTTAATGAAAGGTTGCAGTAGAAGTTCTTGTGATCGAATCAGATAATACAGCAGCTGCGATAGCTGAAGAAGTTACTCGGAATTCAACAGAGAGACTTGTCATTGGAGGCTCATCGCGTAGTTTTTTCTCAAGGTATATGACCACCGTGCTGCTAGCTTTATACCTTTTGTTCTTTTGGTTTCTTGTACCAATGAATCTGTTTTGAAAATTCCAGGAAAGCTGATATGTGCTCAGCGATATCAGCTTTGATGCCAAATTTTTGTACAGTCTATGTTGTTTCAAAAGGAAAACTGTCATGCGTCCGACCATCAGACTCTGACGGCAATGCAACTATAAGAGACGATGGTAGCGAAAGAACTGATTCCTCAAGCGGTTCTTCTGGTCCCACCTCAGGTTTATGACTCAACAATGTGTTCTTGTGAATATTCAACCAGAAATGGTGTGTAGGTCTAATTTTGCTACCCCATTTCTTTCTAGATTCAACAGATGTGATGTCAAGTGGGCGTGACTCTCAATCTCGTGTTCTGTCCCTTCCAGTTAGGCGATTGTTACAATTACCTGCAATTGCAAGACAAGCATCAGTTCCGATGGAAACGAGTTCAGTTGGCTCGGATGAAACCAGGTGCATGTCTTTGGATGCAGAGGAAGCTAAAGATGTTTCGAGTATTAATAGAAGCAGCACGGATACTACATCACGTTGGACTCCGCGGCTTCGAGATTATGAGGAGAGAAAAGAAGCTATGAGTTCTTCTTCTAGCAACCGTGAATATGGGAATGTTGGTAGTAGGTTTAGTTGGACTGGCATGGTGATCGATACTACTAACTCCCGGGCTTCTCAACAAGCTTCAAACATGTCTGATCCTCTAAGTGAACAATCTTATACAGACAACCAGGTACAAAAATGGAGATTTTTTTTTTATACCGATTATTTCTACATTATCTTCTGAATAGGAATTATATAAGGTTATTTGTTCAGGTAAACCTAAACTTTGAGATTGAGAAGTTGAGAGCTGAGCTTAGACATGTTCAAGAAATGTATGCTGTGGCTCAAACAGAAACCTTTGATGCTTCTCGAAAGGTGAAGGCCGGATAATCTCATACATCTTTGCATTTGCTCTTTGCATTTGCTTAAACTTATTAGTTTGTGTTCAATGCTTTTTGAAAATGCTTCAGCTTGGTGAGCTTAACCAACGTCGGTTAGAAGAAGCCATAAAGTTGGAAGAGCTCAAGTTAAAGGAGTACGAATCTCGAGAGTTAGCGGAAAAAGAAAAGCAAAATTTTGAGAAGGCGAGGAGAGATGCAGAGAACATGAGAGAAAGAGCAGAGAGGGAAATTGCGCTGAGAAGAGAAGCCGAGAGGAAATGCACACGTGATACTAAAGAGAAAGAGAAGCTTGAGGGAACTCTTGGGTCTCCTCAGCTGCAATATCAGCACTTCACTTGGGAAGAAATTATGGCTGCCACTTCATCGTTCTCAGAAGAGCTGAAGATCGGAATGGGAGCCTACGGAGCTGTTTACAAATGTAATCTGCATCATACAACCGCAGCTGTCAAAGTTTTACATTCTGCTGAAAGTAGTTTGTCCAGACAATTCCAGCAAGAGGTATGGAAGTAGGCTTGGACAGTCGTTTTAAGGCATTTTGGTTTTCTGTTTATGTGGCCATCCCTATATGGAAGTTTTTTTCAATTTTAGTTTAAATTGTTGTGGAAAGTCATCTCTGTTCTAAGCAGCTACATATATCTCCTTATTGTGCAGCTTGAAATATTGAGCAAGATTCGGCACCCACACTTGGTTATGCTTCTAGGAGCATGCCCGGAGAAAGGTGCTTTGGTTTATGAGTACATGGAAAACGGTAGCTTGGAGGACAGACTGTTCCAGGTCAACAATAGTCCGCCACTCCCGTGGTTTGAGCGGTTTAGGATAGCTTGGGAAGTCGCAGCAGCTCTTGTCTTCCTCCACAAATCAAAGCCTAAACCGATCATTCACCGTGATCTAAAACCCGCAAACATCTTGCTTGATCATAACTTCGTCAGCAAAGTTGGAGACGTTGGACTCTCAACGATGGTTCAAGTCGATCCTTTATCAACGAAATTTACTATATACAAACAAACAAGCCCAGTAGGAACATTATGCTATATTGATCCAGAATATCAACGAACGGGAATGATATCATCAAAATCAGATGTCTATTCCTTTGGAATGATCGTTCTTCAGCTTCTAACAGCAAAACCGGCTATCGCATTGGCACATTACGTAGAGAGTGCAATGGATAGTAACGAAGAGTTTCTCAAGATGTTAGATCAGAAAGCTGGTAACTGGCCGATTGAAGAAACCCGCGAATTGACAGCATTGGCTTTATGTTGTACAGAGCTAAGGGGCAAAGATAGACCTGATTTGAAAGATCAGATTCTTCCAGCGCTGGAGAGCCTAAAGAAAGTAGCTGATAAGGCAAGGAACTCACTTTCCGGTGTGTCTACACAGCCTCCCACTCATTTCATCTGCCCATTACTTAAGGTAACTAAATGTACACAAACCTTGTTTACATGGCCAATCCAAAATAACTGCAATGTTTCTGTGTGTTGTGGTGAAAACTGAAAATGTTGAGAGGCTTGTCTATACAATGCAGGATGTGATGAACGAGCCGTGCGTTGCGGCTGATGGATACACATACGACCGTCGTGCGATAGAGGAGTGGCTTGAAGAGCACGACACGTCGCCGATGACGGATTCACCATTGCGTAGCAAGAACCTTTTGCCCAACTATACTCTTTACACAGCTATCATGGAGTGGAGGTCTGTCTAGAGTCTAGACTATACAGTAAGCCAAAATGTGTAGCCTTTTCTTGGTATATAAACGGCAAGATGCTCCTCCCTTCTTCACGTTTTTGTTGGTTCGGTTTAAAGCATAAAAAAAATACTAATGTGTATATAATTGCATCTTTCTTTGGTTGTATGAAGAGTAATGGCAATATGATATTGTTTGATTCACAATGGTATCCGTAATGTTTATTACAATTTTACGAATATTAGTATCCATTCGTTAATTTGCCTCCAAATATTAGGACTCAAAAGCATTGCCTTTTTTCATTCTTTGTGGTGCTTTTGGGGTCTCTCTCCTCCTCCATTACCCAAAAAGAAACAGAGCTCTTTCTCCGATCATCCTCATTTCTCCATTGAAAAAAAGGACTTGAGGGGGAAAGGTTTAACTGTTTCTAGGGTTTCTTCAATTCCATTTTTTTCATCATTGGAGAATGGAATTTTCTCCTTTTCTCTCATTGCTTCTTCAGATTTTCGCCTGAATTTTTAGAAACCTTAGACCCAATTGCAAAAACTTCACCTTTTGTGTTCTCTAGCCTCATTTTCTTAAAAAAAAATTGATTCGATTCGTCAATCTTGTTGCATTACACAACAATGCGGATTCTTGTGAATCTCCTTGTGTTTTCTCTGCTTCCTCTCGCGTTCTCCGAGGAAAACTCTAGCTCGTACCTCATTCCACGACCATTGATCTTTAAGACCCAGCTCAAGACCATCGACGACGATGTCAATCTACATTGCACGAGCTGGAGATTCGCGGCGGAGACGAACAATCTCGCGCCTTGGAAAACGATTCCTGCTGAATGCGCCGACTACGTGAAGGATTACCTTATGGGTAAAGGTTACGTCTTTGATGTCGAGAGAGTCTCCGAAGAGGCTAAGGTTTACGCCAGCACCTTCGAATCTAACGGCGACGGGAAAGATGTTTGGATTTTCGATATTGATGAGACCTTATTGTCGAATCTTCCTTATTATTTGGAACACGGTTGTGGGTAAATTTATCTCAATCTTTCATATTACAAAATCTTGAGGAGTTAAAATGTGAGATAGGTGTTTTGTTGTCTGTCTTTTTCTTTGCTTTGTTTGTCTGGAGGATTATTTAACAAAGTTGATGCACCAACCCCAAGATATTGTAGTAACAGTCAAATGTGAATCTGTTTTCTTTCACTGAGTTGCATAATTAGTAGTATCCTCTGTTTGGGAATTTTGCAGGTTGGAAGTTTTTGATCATTCAAAGTTCGATAAGTGGGTGGAGAGAGGAATAGCACCTGCCATAGCACCAAGCTTGAAACTTTACCAAATGGTTAAAGAAATGGGTTACAAAGTTATCCTGCTGACAGGGCGTAGAGAGAACCACAGGGTTGTCACTGTCGAAAACTTGCGCAATGCCGGCTTCCATAACTGGGACAAGCTTATTCTCAGGTACACACCATACTTAAATTGGGGGAATGTGTGTCCTCCACTACAATGTGGCTCATAAGTTTTGTATCCGGTTCTTGATGCTAATCATATCTTGGATTTGGATGATCGACATATTCTTTTTGCTGCTTAATGCACCAGATCGTCGGATGATGACCACAAAACAGCGACCACATACAAGTCTGAGAAGAGGGATGAAATGGTGAAAGAAGGGTACAGGATCAGAGGCAATTCAGGTGACCAGTGGAGTGATTTGTTAGGTTCTGCAATGTCAGAAAGATCCTTCAAACTTCCAAATCCAATGTATTATATTCCCTGAACTCTGAAGGGAAGAAAGTCTTTAACTTGATTAATCAGAGGCAATTCAGGTGACCAGTTGGAGCAACCTACTGTTTTTAAAGTTTTGGTTGTCATGTAATCACTTGCTAATGTCAATGTAGTACTGTCTGCATCAGTTTGTGTGTAAACTTTTAGCTGGAAAGCATTTTAAGACTAAGAGTGGAAAATCCCTTTTATTATCGCTCAACTATAATAGAATGAAGAACACATCATTCAAATCCTATCAATCTATGAAGTTTGAATTACAAGGAGTCTCTGCACTGCACATACAATTGATGATGACTGATGCATGAAGTGATAAGATGACCTCTATAAAATACCAGAATAGAAAAAAGAAAGAACATTAATTTCACAAAACAAGACCTTTACCATAATATAGACGTCTGCACTTACAAACAAACCAAAGAAAGTACAACATGTAATGTAACGTTCACAAATTACAATAAGAGAAAAAAACAAACATGGTACCATTTGACAAAGTAGAAACATACATAAAACATTATAGTACTTATAGAAAAAAGAAAGATAGCTAGTCGACATCGGTTTTTATTACCTCCCTCTGATCAAATTCTAAACACTTTATTCCTCATATAAACTCTTTCTCACATCCCCGAATGGCAGTGAGGTAATTTTAAGTAGTGTGCTGAGTCCCACGGGTACGGTCACGGTCGTGCTCCCCACCTGTGTGTTGTTGTCCGTAGTACTGAGCTCTGTCTTTCAGATCCTGAGCTTTGCTTCCCAGCTTCATCCTTGCACTGTCCAACTTGTCTGATCCCTGTGGGTGCTCTCCCGTTGCGTACCTATTTCATAAATCAAATGTGCATCATAATACTAAGCATTCAGCTATATATAAGATATACAGAAACACATAACACGATATAGCTACGTCAGCTTTTGTATTTAATCAAACAAAAAATATCCAAAGCTACCTCCTAGTTCGAGGCTAGTACTTCCCTATAATTTACAATTTGTTAATGTGACAATTGATCCAAAGCTACTGGCCTGACACACATGCATGTGCTAAACACACATATTGTCCAAATGAATGGAATATGGTCATGGATGTGTTCTTACTTGTAAATCCAAGAGAAGACGGTTATAGCTGCAATGCCAAACCCACCAGAGGAAAGAAAGCCGGTGATGAGGAGTGCGACGGTGATGAGAGCCGGGACGAGGATTGGACTGAAGATGACGAGCAAAGGAGTTGCAACAGTCAAAGCAATGACTGTTCCTACAAGGGTGAGGCTGGAGAGGACAAGGAGGGAACCACCAGCTGTGACAGCAGTAGCAGCTTTAGCAATCTGCCTAGACTTAGAGTAGTCTGATCCTCGTCCAGACATCTGGCCGTACTGGTCTCGTCCCATCATCTGGCCATATTGGTCTCGGTCTCGGCCCAACATCGGGTACTGGTCACGGCCGATGATATCGTGATGGGTTGTTCTAGCTGTATCAGCCATTTTGCTTTCTTGTTGACTAGAAGAAAAAGGAGATGCTTATAATGAGATTGATGAAGAAGAGAAGGATGTGTATATATTTCGGAATAGGAATGAGTGTGAAATTGTTTACATATATGAAGAGAGTGGAGGAGAGTCACGTGTCAATGGCGTCATCATGCAATTGTACGCCACCTGTTAATAGCGTCACCATGCAGCCGCTGCATGTGTAAACGAGAGGGGTCTACTTGAGGACACGTTTGTTTTGTTGTCTAGTTTCCTCAGAATGTAGCGTTGGCAATGAACCGAACGCAAACCTTAAATGGACTACTGGGCTGGATAGTACTTAATATTGGTTCGGGCCTTCTTTGAATTCCTGAGAAACGGGCGACCAGTATTGGCAAACGGGACCTCAAATGAAAACTCCAAAAGGTAAAAGAAGAAAGAAGTTTGAAAATTTAGAAAAAGAAAGTGTTGTATAGAACACAAAAACAATACATAGAAGCTTTTAGCTGTCTTACAACAATGTACAAACGCAATAATTACTACATCTGAAACTATAAACCAAACCATCTACATTTAAATCCTTTTATTGATGCATGTTGTTGAAAAGAATAAAAATTGATAAGCCAAAGTCAGAAACTTTACACGTCCATTAACATTCACTTATTATTACTTTGGGATTTCTTATGAACGCTAATATTTGTGGGGATTTCGTATAATTTGAGTTTATGTCCAAAGGTTCAAATTTTTTCCGCAACATTCCAGAAAATGAAGAAATTTTAAGATATAAAAAATATATATCCACCGCCTCTTATTAAAAGTTCCAAATTTCACCACGTCACTGCATCGATAATGCAGGTCCTCGTCGCCTCTCCTCCGATTCTCTCCGCCGCTGCTCTCGCTAAACCTCTCCATTCCCTCTCTAAAGCTGCACTCCCTTTCTCTAGAGCCCCTTTCCCCCAGACCTCACGACGACCCATCTCCGTCTACAAATCCCCGATGAACAACCTCTTCAACAGGCTCGGTTTCGGCTCTCGTCCCCAAGCCCAAGTCGACCCGGCTTCCGCCGCAATCGCCCAAGGACCTGACGACGATGTTCCCTCTCCAGGTCAGCTATTCGCCCAATTCGGCGCCGGTTGCTTCTGGGGTCTGGAGCTAGCTTACCAGAGGGTTCCTGGTGTGACCAAAACCGAGGTTGGGTATAGTCATGGGGTCGTTCACAATCCCACTTACAGGGATGTATGTAGTGACATAACGGGACATAACGAGGTTGTTCGGGTTCAGTACGATCCTAAAGAGTGCAGCTTTGAGACCTTGCTCGATGTTTTCTGGAAGCGCCATGATCCAACCACCTTGAATCGTCAGGTGATAAGCTTTATCCAGAAAAATCTAGACTTTATCGCATCGGATTTGGGGATGAATTGCTATTTGATAATTTCGAGGCATCACATGTGTAGATGAACTCTGTGTGTCTTAACTTAATCTTCATATACATTTGGTAGTCTCATCACATGTGTAGACGATCTCTCTGTGGCTAAGTTGTTATGTCTTTGGTTTGGAGTTAGATCCAATTTTTACTCTTAGGCCTTGTTGGTTTGAGGATTCTGCTCTCTGACAAATGCAAGACACCGAGCGGATAGAAGTTAACGGATTATGTGGGAGTGACATTGCCATTTCCGTTTCCAATATGGTTCTACTTAAGCCTGGTCCTTTCATGCTACTATACAGCTTATTACACATTTGAGGATGGATCTATCTTGTGGTTTTTCACATCATGCTGACGTTTGTGTATTGATTGAGCAGGGGAATGATGTGGGAACGCAGTATCGATCAGGCATATACTTCTACACAGACGAGCAAGAGCGGATAGCTCGTGAATCTCTTGAGATCCAGCAGAAGATCTTGAACAAGAAGATTGTGACAGAGATACTTCCCGCTACAAAATTCTACAGAGCGGAAAACGAACACCAGCAATACCTGGCAAAAGGAGGTCGCATGGGTTTGAGGCAATCACCTGAGAAAGGTTGCAAGGATCCAATCCGATGCTATGGCTAAGTAACCAAGTCAATCGTCCCTCAAGCACATAAAAAAAGAAGTGAGCTGTTTCATGATAATACAATAAACTGTAGATCACATTTATGTCTTGTCTTTGTTATGTAACCAGTGGTGATGATGCATCATATGTTTACCTGAATGTTGTGATAAATTTTAGTGTTTCAAAAAAAACCTAAGTTGTAACACAGTGAATACGAATCAGAACCATAATATTTCATTAGTCCTGGTTTTGAGCGTACTTGATGGGAATTTGAGAAGTTAACAGTTTAACAGTTTCGAGTTTTCTTTTGATTTTGAGTTTTGAGCAATTGAGAAGCTAACGCTTAAGGGTAGACATGAATGCACATGGATTTTCATTCTACAAAATACGTTTACAATGTACCATTCTCTTTTCTTCTATATTCAAGATTAGGATTTCGAGATCCTTTGTTAAATACATATGAACGTATGAGACTATATAGAATCTCAGAGTGATTTGTACTGTTCAATCAAGCGTGACGCATGGAGACGTGATGTTGGGGTCACTGTGCATCCTAGACTATGCAGAAACGCGATCTGCCATTTGAAAAAAAAACATAAACACAAATGTATCATCTTCTAAATCTTGGTTGACCAATATGTGAGTTTTACCTGTTTACTCGTTGCTTCTGAAGTGCCCATTGAGTTTTCTATTCTCAGTTTTTGGAAATGCTCCTGAAACAGAAGTTTTTTTCCCCAAGTTTATGGAGTGACTTAACTTATAACTTCAAGCTCTCTGAAAACAAAAGTATTTGTTACCTGTTTCTCGCGCACTATATGAGCCCGTGTGTCTGCAGGAAGTTGTTCCCATCTAAGTACCTGAAATTCCGAAATTACACAGGAATATGAGCACCACAATCTCAGATTTCATTTTTATCAAATCATTACTGTGTGATAGTGTTTTTCAGATAATAATGTTTACATGTTCTGCATATTGGAAGGCTTCCTCAGAAGACAATGATGATTTGAGTGTTCGTAAGACATCCTAACAAAATAGTGTAGCATCAAGTTAGTCACCAAGGCATATTCCAACACTCTGTATGGCTTAGTAGGCTTTAAACATTAAGCTTCATAATAATCTCTATAGATTGGACCACATTTAATTAGAGAGGTATACAACCTTGTGTTTGTTCTTCTTGATGGCCAAACGTTCACCAATCACAAACCTCACCTGCATGGACGAAAACATTGACATGAAAGGTGAGCTAAGAAATTTGACTGGCGCTTAAATTAGTTGATTGAGAACTGTTGGCAAATTATGAGATACTCACCTTGTCTATCAGCCTCTTCGGTTCCTGGAATGCTTGCTTCTTAGCCCAGTTGTGAAATAAGTGAGAGACAACTGATCTAACCTCCACATCAAACCTGTTGAGGATAAAAGTTCTACAGCGTTTGAATGATGAGCAACACCAACGGGTGCCAAATTAGAATTGTTCTGTTGGTTTTAAACATGTAACCTCTTAAGAAAGCTGTTCCCATTGAGTGCATATGCTGCTATTGACTCCTCGGAGGCATCACCTTCTGGAATGTTCATCACATCATTGTCTGTTAGTTTACTTTCCTCATGCTTTATTTCTTCTGTTCCAGAACTGGAGACGCTCTGCTCAGTCTTGTTTGGAAGATTTTGTTGAACCCTTTTACAGTCATTTACGCTAAAGTCTCCCTGCGAAACATTGTTGAGAGTTCTTGTTAAAGCTAACACATTATCATGCATAACGTTACAAACAGAATGAGACCTGAACCTGAAGAAGATGGTCCGGAATTTCTTTAAGAAATCGTGAGGGTTGGAGCACCTAGATGCAACATCATTAGTCAGAGTCAGAGACAAAGTTTGAGAGGAGAAATTCATAAACCATATGTAGTACTAACCTGCCAGTTTGAATCCACTGTTACATACAAAAAAAATAGTTTCTTGCGAGCACGAGTCATAGCAACATACAGAAGGCGACGTTCCTCCTACAATTTAAACAAACAATGTGTCGCTAAATATATATTTGTAGAGTCCCCATAGGTGGGAAGTGGATATAGAGTTAATGAATACTTCATGAGAAGGAAGAGCTATACCTCAAGTGATGTTCCACTCTCTGATGAATTGCCGTTAGACTCATGTAAGAGGGGAATCTCGTTTTCATTAGCCTGTTTAGCAAAATGATTCAGACTGGACCCAGGACCTTTTCCGTTCCATTGATTTTATAAAAAAATATTCCATAGCTGCCAACAACTCGGTAAAGAAAGCCAAAGAGGGTGATATATACCTTGACTATGAAAACTATGTCCCATTCCAAACCTTTAGACTGCATAAAGACATACAAGAGATATTAGCCCATATTTCCATTACTACCTGTAGCAGCTAATTCTAACACAGATGGATAACAAACACCTGATGAATGGTGGTCAATGTGACAGAGTTTTCATTGTCATGTTTTCTTGAACGAAAATTTTCAGTTTCGCGCTCGGAGATATAGTTGATAAATGAATTGAGTTGGTTGCAGCCTTTGTTTTCTTTGACTGCATCCACTTCCCCTCCAGTTGTAGTGCAATGAGTGGATAGAAACTCAGATACATCATCCATTAAGTACTGGAGTACCTGCAAAACAGGAAATCATTCCCCAAATGTTTTTAAACCATACATACGGGAGAAAGGAGATTATCCAAAGTTTTTGAAAAGCAAACTCTACATACAGATCTAAGATCGTTGTCTTCATTAAGCAGTTTTCCTCCATCATTATCCACAACGGCTCGTTGTTCAAGAAGGTATTTCTACACGTTGAAACAACATGAGAAGGTAAGCGTGATCACAAAAAGAAATGGGTATGATATTGCACAAAGTGTTTGGAAGGAAAGACAGTAAATTTTTAAAGCAAAGTCACGTGTTCAGAAACTTTTTTTTCAATGAAACTATAACTTAAGCCTACAATCACGATATCTACAAAACTTTCAAGAATGAGACTGGATTGTCAAGTATAAGGTCCATCTTCTTTTGTATATATGTCTTGCTAGCAAACAGAAACTTTGTAAAATTGCCTGCATGTTTTTCTATATATGACTCTGGAGATGACAGTGTAGGTTAATGGCTATAAGCATGTCATCACTTAAGACAGAAAAACCAATTACCTGCGGGATCATATTTGCCACACATGTTATTACAGCTGAAAGTGATTGTTCCTGAAAATAGGTAAGACGTAAGGGATTTGTAGTACTAAGTTGAAATAAGCATGATCACTTTAGCTAACATCTTACCCTATCAACCAGCTTTGCTACCATGTCAAGAGTTTGCAAAACTTTGCGTCCCTGAGTAAGCTGGCTCCTGTGGTTAATTCAAACAAAACTAAGAAGCTTAGCAGGAAACTGAAAAAAATAAAAAGACTGGGGGATAAAAATGTGCAGCATTCTTAGAATCTTTAGATGCACATAAATATAAATATATATATATATATATATATATATATATATATACATATACACACAACGTCACTTAGATACGGATGGCAAAACAACCTATATGTACCACTCTAGTATGCATCATGAAAATAAAGCAGACACCTATGAGAAACTTGTATTTTATCTCCTGGTTAGTAAACCTAGAAACAACAATATTCTCAACTCAGAATTAAAACTAAAGCAATATCATGTAGTGATTTCTTAATTAATTTCATCAAGCAATACCTTTTGAAGGTACCAGAAATCTTGGCACTGAAGATATCATTTGCCGCTGAAATAAAGCTGCATTTCCTACTAGTCGAGATTTTTTCAATATATTCTATAACCTGCAGATAGTGGTAATAAATTGCATCCAAAAAGCTTATGTCCTGATAGCTAAAGCTAAGAAAGAAGAAGTAAATCGTAGATAATCATGCAAATGAAATCAAACGAGAGCAAATGAAGTACAAACCCTTTTCTTTTCCTCTTTCTCAAAAGGAAGTAATGCCTTGAACACACGCCTATAAGAAGCATCATCACATTCGAAAAATGTTGTTTTCAGCATGGCCAAAATAATTTGGACAACCTAGCGTGGAAAAAGTTTATAGTTTTTATGTCTATTAGATGGAGCTTATTGTCTGAAACAAATAAAGCTAAGACAAGCATGAGAGAATCGTCAATGTCAAGAATCAATATACATGGAGATCATGCAACAGTTAACAAATGAGATACTAATGAGACGATCTACCTTTTTCCTGTAGAAAGCAACACCATGAACGTTAAATGGTATTTTTCTTTGGCGGAATGCATTTTGGAAGACTTTACCTGACACCTGAAGATCAGTACATGTGTGGTTTACCAACAAGTAATATGATAGAGTATAAAACATTCTGACAACATGTCATCAGGGAAAAGAAAAGGACTGACCTGCCTCCTATAAAGAATGGCAATATCTCCATGGGAACAACAAGGTGTGGAGCCATCATTAGTGATTTCAATAATTTTGTCAATGACATATGCACACTGTGCTTCCTCATTATGGCATTCCTTGACAATAATCTATACTGGATAAAACACAAAAAAGTTAAGCATGTTACTGTAGCGATTAAGTTATGCAATTTCTTATAGAGAAGAGTTCAACTTGCCTTAGATCCCTGGGAGTTTTCAGACGAAATGCTTTTTGATTGGCACCGCTTTGTATTGTTTTTTATGATAGAAGAAGCGGCTTCCACAATATAGCGGGAGGAGCGATAGTTTTTTATAAGCCTGACCTGAATTAGAAGCAGTAAGAAAAATGTTATGCATTCACAATTCAATGGCGAGGCCTTTGATTCCTTAAGCTAATAAATTATATGTGGTCTAATATTTGAGTTAGCTACGAAAAGTCAAACCTCTTTGTAGTTTGGGAAATCTCGGCGAAATGAATCAAATCCTGAACTGTCGGCCCCGTTAAAACCGAAGATGGACTGCAATAAAAGATACATCATACTTCCTTCGAATATTCAAGTGAAAATAAGTCAGTTTAAACAACGCACCTGATCATCATCACCAACAATAGTTATATGATTATGAGACCCTAGCATCCGTAGAAGCTTGTACTGCATTGTGCTAGTGTCCTGGAATTCATCAACTATGATGGCTTTCCAGGTATCTTGGCATTCCTTGAATACTTTAATCCAATGCAGCAAATACATGTGAACACAAAGAAATCTTGAGCGTCATAAATCTCATAACTATAAAATTTATCTAAGTGGCTTTACCTTCAGGGAAGTCAGAGAGGAGTGTGACCGAACAACTGATCAAATCATGATAGTCCAGAGCATCACAAGCTTTTAGGATATTGTTGTAGTTTCCAAGAATTTTTGCCTGTATCGGCACCAGTACAGAATCAAATCAAATGAACTAATTCATAATAGAGATGCGTGAAACAACGTTTAGCTGACTTACTCCTATCTCATTGCCCATCTTACGGCACTCCTCTGGAGTTTTACCAGAAGCTTTTCCCTAAAATGCGAAAAGTTAAAAGCAACTAGATTAGATGTGAAAACAGGATATACGCACTATCAATAGACCATATTGTAAACATATTATATAAATTTTTCATTTTTTGACAACCTGAGTCACAAATTTCTGCCACTTTTTCGATAGATCCTTGGCGTATTCAGGACATACTGCTCCTGCACCATTTAAACCTTCTCCAGACTCGCATGCACCGGAACCCTTGCTTCCATTCTTCTTTTCTTCCTCATACAAACGCACTGCTTCTATTATCGCTCTTCTTTGTTGCCCACGCCCATACACTGAGAATTCAGATGTACGTTCTAATCTGTGACAGTAGGAATGGTATAAGATACATAAATCCCATGAATCTATAACATTAAAGATATCAACAAGTGATATGCAACCAACAACTTGAAACGAACACATGTCAAATAAAATTAGTGAAATCAGGATACATGAATAGAATTTATAAACTAATCTTGACTTCAGACCATTTCTGGCACTGTAACTTCAACTCAACAACATAGAAAGTTACATTCTCCAGTAATGAGGAAAAATCATTTCATATATCTCCTACCTACATTTAGACTTGAGATTAAACTACCAAAATACCAAGAAAATCACAATTCATATTCTCACTTTTCTGCATGCATCCGACAAAGCTGCAAGGAAAATGAGTGGAATGTACTGATTGTTATGTCTTTAGCTGCTTTCTTTCCAGCAGATTTTCCTATGCGTTCTCTCATCTCAGATGTTGCTGCTGTAGTGAAAGTCATTGCAAGGATATTTGATGGATGTAGACCCTATCAAGTTAGAAAGAACACAAATCTTAAAATGTAACGATAACTTCAAATCTGATTTCATATACAAGATCTCAAGGACGGAAGATGTTTAGAATCATTCAGTGACGATAATTGATAGTACCTCACTGAGCAACACCAAGACGCGGCCAACCATGGTGGACGTCTAACATGGGAAAAAGAATAATCAGCACTGACTGTATAACATGAAAACACAAAAGATTCTTGGCTCATAGGAAAAAGAAGTCTATTAGAAACCAACCTTTCCACTTCCGGGACCAGCAATAACCATCAAAGGAGTTGAGATATTACTACATGCTGCATCACGCTGTCTATCATTTAACGACCGCATATATTTTGAACACTCATCAGGCATGGAATTGATCAGTGCAGGATCAGCAGCAGCGGTAGTCTCTTCATAGAGCTTCAAGTTAACATTAGAGTCTGACACAAACTTTTCAACATCCCTAGAATCTAAGCTGGCCTTCAGGTCACTGCTCTTATTATCATTATACGGAGTCTGAATTACACTGGTACTTGGAGTTTGACATGCTGTTTTTCCCGCTGACTGTTCGCAGATAAAGTCAATCTCTTCCAAAATGGAATCATCGATGTCATCATCGAGAAGTGAAGAAGAAGAGCAACCATAGCTTAATGTAACTCTTTCTGGCTGTTTCAAGGGAGTAACAAATGGGTCTGATGAAATTCCAACGTCCCCAGAAATCTCGGTCTGAAATGCATTAACAACCTCCTCATCCAGATGAAGCCTAAAAGTAGGGGTGCTCGTGCCACAAGGGGGAGAACAACCATCATCAGATGACTCGATCCCTGGTTTAAGGCGTTTGAATGGTGTGATATTGGATGATAACTCCATAAGAGGAGTTCGATTGAAGCTACCATGGTGAGAAACGGATTCAGCACCCATTGATGATTCCTTCACTCTGTAACACCACCATGTAGACAAAAATTATCACATTATTTCAGGAAATCCAACGAAACGAAATTATCTATGCAACTCGAATTTTAGGGAGAGCTAAATACAAACAAACTTAAAAGCGGAAGAGCAAGGGGTCGCTTCACTATACGATGATGACATCAGAAATTTATGGGAAATTGCTCAAACAGAAGCTAAAGAGTAAACAAAGAATTCGAATAAGAATTGAAAAGAAGAAAGCAATTGGACGACCTTTGAGGGAAAGGATTGGAGAAATTAGATGCATTCTCAAGTGGCCTTTTCCGGTGAAGAAGCGGCTTAGCGGATCTGAAGCTTTGAGAAATGCGACCAAGGGAGTACTCTTGATTCCACATCCCTCTGTTGGGCGGGAGATTCTCCATCTTTCTTCCCCCTTTGATCTTCGTTCCAGAAAGTGTGGGAAAATTTCGAAATGATTTGGTATCAGAGACAGACTGAAACAAACCTAAGGGACGGGCAGACAACGAATCACCTTTTCCGGCGATCTCGTTTGGGCCTTGAGAGCCCAAGTAAGGCCTTTGCTTTTATATGATAGATTTTTTAAAACTTTTCCGATGAAATTCAATACTGCAAGCAATAAACCATGCCGCTTGTGAAACTTCCATATCATCACTGAAAAAACAACACTGCTGTAGAATCATAGGAACATTTAGCGGAATGTTCAGAATCTCTAAAGGTGTTGATGAGTGCATGCATGTCTTGTCGAGTATATCCATCCGACATGACAATGTCGACGGGTCAATAAGAACAGCTTCATATATGACTATTGACTAGTATGGTTGCTAAAATTAATTAACTCGAATAATCCAGAAAACTCATTATTAATAAAAGTCAACCACATTCTAATTAGTTAGTTCCTTCGCACTATCAGATCCATGCTTCTATAATGTATAAGAGAAAGAAAAAAAAAACATGAGAAATTAGAAGAGAAGGAACTATGAAAATTCTCAACATGATAGTTTAATTTTACACATACAAGTTGAGACGACTTCATTATTGATCCACACACAAAAAGTCTTCACGATCAAATACATAAAAGTCGTAGCTTACTCAGCATTTTGCGTCTTAATTACCTTCTTGGCAACTTCTTCTTCTAAAGTTCCAATGCAAATACTTGTATTAACAAAATCCCTTGATCATTGATGATCTCCTCTCATCGTAAAAACGAAAAGCTTTAATCTGTAAATATAGGGTGGAAACTAGAAGTCCCGAGAAAATAAAAGGAGTTTTTGGGATATCAAAGAACAGGATGTTGTTGCTGGTGGACTGCTCCAGCTGTCGTACGCCACTTCACCTCCCACCCGGAGCCACCCGTATCTGCTGCGCCATTTGCCACGCCTTCACTCTCATTGCTCCCGAACCCCGTCTCATATCTCACGCGCCTTCCTTTAACCACGCCCCGGCTAGCCCTCTTTCTTTTCCCCACTCATCCCCTATACCTCCCGCTCCATCCTCTTACATTTACCCGCCCCCAGCACCCTCCCCCTTTAGCCACGCGCCTCCTTCGCCCTTCTCATTTAGCCACGCGCCGCCTTCGCCCTCCTCATTCAACCAAGCATCGTCTCCTTTCACTCACGCGCCACCGTCTCCGTACAATCACGCGCCTTCGGGTCCGCCGCCGCCGGTACACGGGCAGAAGCGAGCGGTGATCGTGGGGGTTTCTTATAAGAATACAAAGGACGAACTAAAAGGATGTATCAATGACGCAAAATGCATGAAGTTCATGTTGATGAAGCGTTTCCAATTCCCCGAATCTTGCATTCTTATGCTCAACGGTATTAATTACATTCTATAATGCCTACACCTTTCACATTCATATTTTTCATGATGTTATAGTTAGAAGTTTGTCACAAATGTTGTAGAAGAAGAATCGGACCCATTGAGATGGCCAACGAAGAACAACATAACAATGGCGATGCATTGGCTAGTTCTAAGCTGCAAACCGGGAGATTCCCTCGTCTTCCATTTCTCTGGTCACGGCAACAACCAGACGGACTACAACGACGACGAGATCGACGGCTTTGACGAGACTCTTCTCCCGATGGACCACAGGACTTCAGGTGTCATCGTGGATGACGAGATCAATGCTACGATCGTACGGCCTCTCCCTTATGGAGTCAAGCTCCATGCCATCATTGACGCTTGTCATAGTGGTACCGTCTTGGACCTGCCCTATCTTTGTAGAATGGATAGGTACGTTATTTATAATTCTTGTTATGTGCAGACCTCTACTGATTAATGTGTTGGTTACATATGAATAAAACATTAGAGATTGTTGTTATATTTGAAAGCAAAACATGTTATTATAGCACATGTAGAAGTAAATGTTAAAAAAAAAGTTGAATGGAGAGTATGTAGATATTGTATTGGTTATATAAACCCTATAAACCAATGCAATTGGCACAAACAAGAAACTATTTATGTATATACTCATTACCTTTTTTCTTGATCCTTCGTCTTTAGGCTCGGAAACTACGAATGGGAGGATCATCGGCCTCCATCAGGAATGTGGAAAGGTACGAGTGGCGGTGAAGTCTTCTCCTTCACAGGCTGCGATGATGACCAGACCTCTGCTGACACTCCGGTACATTTCCCCCTGTTAGCAATATATATAACCTCTGTAGCTAGATTTCAAAACAACTTTTGAAAGTATTTGCAAACAATTACATAAAAACGTAAAATCATCCATATTTTATCTTTTCATCGTGATGTTGTAGTAGCTACTCTATATAAACGTATAAACATACCTTCATGTTAAAAGCTCTCACAAAGAAATGTGTGTGCATGCACTTCATGCAGCAATTGTCAGGGAATGCGTGGACAGGGGCAATGACGTATGCATTCATTCAGGCCATAGAACGTGGCCATGGGACGACATATGGGTGCTTACTGAATGCGATGAGATCAACGGTTCACGAGATTTTTGACAAAAACAAAGGTAGAGAGCTTGTGGAAGTGGAAGGCGGTGATTTTCTCACTACTCTTCTTGGTTTGCTCATCTTAGGCGCTACTCCTCCTGATGAAGAAGACGAAGTAAACCAAGCCCCCCAAAAAACTCAGGTAATCCAATCATCTACTAGTTAATTACTTTGATAAAAAAAATTAATTATCATGAAGGTTAGAACCTCATAGATATTACTAATATATAGCGCTCTCTCCAACTTATTAGAACTTAGAACTTAGAATTATCTTCATAACAAAATCAATAACTATTTTAAAAGTAGTGAATGATTTTGATAGCGAGATTATGTTAATTGATTTGCATTAACGATTAGATATGTTGGCATCTTGGATTGCTACCGCAGGAACCACAGTTGAGCGGTAACGAGGCATTTGATGTGTATGGGAAGACCTTCTCTTTATAACAAACAATATATCAACATAAAAAAGAAGAGTATGAAATTTCAGAAAATCAGCAAAATTCTTTATTGAGCTCTGAGTGAAGATATATGGTCCTTTTCAAGAAGTGAAAATAATAGTTGTGAGACTTCATCTTTCAAAAGTACTATCAAGTTAAATACTAATATTGCCATATCAGCATTATGGTGTACACATCCTAATTTTAATGAAATCAGACAAACAAAAACACGAATGCAGTGTCAATTTCTCATAATTATATTCATTTGTATATCTCTCAATCCGTAGATTTTTAACCCAAAAAAAAAATGACATCATAATATTTCTCTACTATGTTCATCTAGATGTTTCTCCATTATAGTTTCAGACTATTCTACGAGACTACGACATTCTAGAAAATGGATAAAATGGGCGTAATTTTGAAATTCAGTAAAATACGAATGTTTCAATGTAACATAGTTCAACCCAAAAATTTGTACTTTCTTTCCAACTCAATAATCTTGTATTAGCTTAGCTGCTTAGATGAAGTTTTACATTATATAATTGCATTTACTAAAATAATTTGTAAATTATTATAAGCAAAAACTGATGTCCATAGTTTTTCAATTCAATTATGACGACACAATGTCACAATGAGACAATTGGAGCCAGAAAAAAAAAATGTACTGCAAAAAGATAATGATAGTACAAATGATACGTCGTACTGCCACATGTACTGCCACATGTACTGCCACATGTACGACGCAGCTCAATTACCAAAAAAGCAAAGCCATAAAAACTCATAACACACAGATTCCACTGGCGTGTGCTCTCCTCACTTGTCCTTTGAAACTAGAGGTACTCTCAATCTATCTCTCATCTACTTTTTAGTTCATGTTCGAGTTTTTTTTTCTAATCTCTTTACTCTTCTAGAAAAACACTTCATTAAAATTTGTTTGGTCTTCCGACAACACACAAACGCATGTATGTATACAACTATACATGTTGATAGTGTTTTGTAATAATATTGATTTTTTTTTTTTTTTGGAGCATCTAGATAATGATGTTATGTTGTCTGTAATGTGCAGCTTCAGTCTCGAAGTATGGCTGCTTCAACTGCTGTTACCGCAAACTACGTCCTCAAGCCACCTCCATATGCTCTGGTATGATTCTATTGACATGCATATTCCTTCCAACTGATAGAAATTGTCGGGAAATGTTTGGTTGGATTAGAATTTTGCTTCGTACTTACTAGATGATATAAGTTGTTATGCCCAAAGTAGCCTTCAAAATACCTTTCTATCCTCCTCAGAGGCGTTACATATGATTTTTCAGCTATTAGTAACGTACGGAAGATGGGCCAGATGGGAAATTTGTACCACTATATATTTTCGGTTGCATTCATTTTTAAGATGTATTGATTTAAATATATTGAGTGAGAGCAATTTTGATTTAATGTGGTATAATAATTGGAAAGGATGCTTTGGAGCCGCACATGAGCAAACAAACTCTGGAGTTTCACTGGGGAAAGCATCACAGGGCTTACGTGGAAAACCTCAAGAAACAGGTTCTTGAAACCGAGCTTGAAGGCAAACCCTTAGACCACATTATCCACAAAACCTACAACAATGGCGATCTCCTCCCTGCTTTCAACAACGCTGCTCAGGTCATAACAACCCCATTTTTTGGTTTGAACTTTTAAAATGTGTGTGTGTTTATAGCTGATTGGTTGTGTTTACAGGCGTGGAACCACGAGTTCTTCTGGGAATCGATGAAACCCGGTGGTGGAGGAAAACCATCAGGAGAGCTTCTTGCTCTGCTTGAAAGAGATTTCACTTCTTATGAGAAGTTCTATGAAGAATTCAATGCCGCTGCAGCCACTCAGTTTGGAGCTGGCTGGGCCTGGCTTGCTTGTAAGTGTTTCAAATTTAAGAGACTTTCATAGATACGTTACCTTCTTACATACTCTTATCTCTCTGCTTTCAGATGCAAATGACAAACTCAAAGTAGTGAAAACTCCAAATGCTGTGAATCCGCTTGTGCTTGGCTCTTTTGTAAGTTTTTTTTTGTGAAGGAACTTGAATAGACAATTTACTTGATTAGAGATCATCGTAGAATAAATGCAAATCCTTAAACTTAATTTTGGTTGTGGTTTCTTGCAGCCCTTGCTTACCATTGATGTCTGGGAGGTAAGTAAACACTTTTGTGTCGTCCCATAGCAAATCCAGTGTTTGTCCTAAAACCAATTTTTCTGACAAGTTTATTGATTTTTTTTTTTATTCATTTGGGTACATCAAACAGCATGCTTACTATCTCGACTTCCAGGTAACACTTATTCATAAACATGACAAATTAAAAACGGTTTTCTTCATCAGTTTATTTGTTTTGTTGATTGTTGTAATATTTTCTTTTTGTATATATACGAGCAGAACCGGAGACCAGATTACATAAAGACATTCATGAACAATCTTGTGTCTTGGGAAGCTGTCAGTGCCAGACTTGAGGCCGCAAAGGCTGCTTCTTCTTCTTCCGCTTAAGCAGAGTTCTGAACAATATGACTTCAGTATTCACATTACTGGAAGTTTCTAAATAAAGTATTGGTCATTGTAATAAGGACACAGCTTGTTGTATCATACAACTTGTATGTGTCCCAGAGTCCTCCATGTAGATTTTGCACCTTATGGATAATGCTCTTTTGTGGTTTTTATTTGGGTGTGTGTTAAGTTTTTCACTTCCATTTGTTCTTTGAAAAACCACGGCTCCACAGGTACCGATAAAATTTTAAGAACTTATTGAAAATATTAAAGTATATAATATCTTTGTTCAAAAAAAAAAAAAAAAAAGTATATAATATCAAGTGAAAATTGTAAAGTTTTATTCAACGTTAAAATTTTGAGGAGATTTTTGGTCGCAAATTGTTGAATTAGTTTAATGTTCGGGTGAGTCAGGGTTGTCGGTCAAGCTATCTTCTATGGGTTGTAACTTGTAAGTAAGAAATCAAATTTTGTAAGATTTGAAATTTTGGTGAGGCATTACCTTATCAATTAGATATTACTGTATACTAGTAAATAGAGGAAATATAGATACTGAAAATGTGTTTACAAAAAAAAAAAAAAAAAGATATTGAAAATGTTTTATTCCTTAGTAAAGTGAAAGGCATAGACAGTAATTTCTTTAGACCTCAAAGGTTTATTTTTATCAAATGTAATTAACTATTAGTAGTTGCGGAGTTGACAAACCTGGCAAAAAAGAAAAATATAAGCTCAAGTAGGTCGACTTGTCTCATATTAATTTGTTTGAATTAGTATTAGCCTACGTTTTTACATGTTGGAAGATTGTTTAGTGCGTTATCCAATTTGACCTGTCAGTTATTACATTTTAGAATGACCATCCGAAAATTTCGGGTCGTCTTATAGAGTGTGATTAAGAGATAGAGGAAGATAATAACGTAGCATTGACTTGAGATGCAATTAATAAAATTATTCAGAATAGTCATTATTTTTCCTTGCTCACGTTTTGTTTCCCCGTTAAAAAGGCCGGGTATGAATCCATGCATCTGGGCAGTGAGCTCAGAAGTAACGGGACTGTCTCTCCCACACAGAAGCGGAGAAGAGCAGCGATGGAAAACGTTCCAAGTGCGGCGGATGAGGGATCGAGCGTGGAGGAAGATACGGCGCAGAAACGAAGCGGTCTAGTGAAGCGTCTGGCCTCAGTTTCTAACCAGCTCAAGCGCTTGACGAGTAAGCCACGTGGATTGGACCGGTCAAAGTCAACGGCCGGTCAGGCCTTGAAAGGGCTAAAGTTTATCTGTAAGACTGACTGTGGTGCTGGCTGGACCGCCTTGGAGAAGCGGTTTGATAAGATCACGGCCACTACTGGTGGACTGCTGCACAAGTCAAAATTTGGTGAATGCATAGGTAAAAGAATCTTAGAAACCAAAAAATAACTTTGGAAATGAAATGGAGATAAACAGGAATGTTGATTGACATATTGTAGGGATGAACTCAAAGGACTTTGCCTTGGAGTTGTTCGACTCATTAGCTAGAAGAAGGCATATGTCAGGGGATGTGATTGGTAAGAAGAAACTTAAAGACTTCTGGGAACAAATAAGTGATCAACGCTTTGATTCCAGGCTTATGACATTCTTTGACATGTAAATTTCTTAAAAATCCTATACACATTTTTGTTCGTACTTTTCATTTCTTCGGTACTGAATGAGAATTTTGAGATATTAATACAGGATGGATAAAGACTGCAACGGTAGACTAACAAGAGACGAAGTTAGAGAGGTAAAAAATGTTTTGACTAATCAACACTCAACAGGATCTTGATTTTTTCATATGTTAATTTTATCTAAAAATTTCACATTCTTCTTTTATTTTATAGAAAATCTAACCACATAATAATTTCTTTTAAAAACTGAGAAATGGCTGGGGAATTTGTTGAACTTTGCTCTGTATTTTTGTGTTTTTGGCAGATCATCAGTCTTAGTTCGTCTTGCAACAATCTGTCAACCATCCAGAAAAAGGCTGATGAATATGCAGCAATGATAATGGAAGTGCTTGACCCTGATCATATTGGATACATCATGGTAAACTTTCATGATGATCATATGAAAAACTATATATATGTTCTTGTTCAATAGTGCTTTTGTGTGTAACTTTGTGGTGCATTTAAAACAGATGGACAGTCTTAAGAGCTTACTCCTGGAAGCAGAAACACAATCTATAAGCACTAATAGGGAAGAAAGAAAGAAGATGAGCGACATCATAAGTGAGAAGCTTAGGCCTACGCTTGACCCTAATCTGTTGAGAAGATGGTACCGTCGACTGAGATTCTTCGTGTTGGATAGTTGGCAAAGAATTTGGGTTATAGCGCTATGGCTCACCATTATGGCCATCCTATTCGTGTACAAGTATATCCAATACAAGAATAGAGAAGTATATGAAGTGTTGGGGAATTGTGTGTGCTTGGCCAAAGGTGCAGCAGAGACGCTGAAGCTAAACATGGCCTTGATTTTGTTACCTGTATGCAGAAATACCATCACATGGCTTAGACATAAAACTAGGTTGGGTGTTTTTATCCCTCTTGATGACAACCTCAACTTTCATAAGGTAAAACCACAACCTTTATTTTCCTTTTAAAAAAAAAAAAATCTAGCCATGGTATATATTGCAGTAATATTAAGAAAACTATGGTAATGCATGGAAAGGAACAGAGTCTTATGAGCTAGCTTATTTGGGAAAAATAATGTTTTCAGCACTTGCCTAGTTATAATTGCAATAATATCTCCCATCTTGACATGATTTATATAGTAACTTGACGGGTAAACCTACAGGTTATAGCGGTGGGAATTACGGTAGGAGTAGGCATACACTCTGTGGCGCACTTGGCTTGCGATTTTCCGCGGCTGATTGCGGCAACTCCCGAAAGATACATGCCTCTAGGAAAATTCTTCGGGGAAGAGCAACCGAAGAATTACTTGCATTTTGTGAAGTCAACAGGAGGAATAACAGGACTCGTAATGGTTCTCTTGATGGCTATAGCTTTTACACTGGCTCTCCCTTGGTTTAGACGGGGAAAGCTAGAGAAAAAACTTCCAAGGCCACTAAAGAAACTCGCGAGCTTTAACGCCTTCTGGTACACTCACCATTTGTTCATTATAGTCTACATTCTCCTTGTCCTTCACGGATACTACTTAAATCTCAGTAAGGAATGGTATAAGAAAACGGTGAGTATTTCCATGTTTAACACTTCTAATCGTAATCTCAGCGTTGAAAAATGTAACTAACTCGAGACATTGTTTCGTAGACGTGGATGTATTTGGCTGTACCATTAGCTCTGTATACAGGCGAGAGATTGATACGAGCATTCAGGTCCAGCATCGAGACGGTAGAAGTTGTAAAGGCTGCCGTGTATCCTGGAAACGTATTGACTTTGCACATGTCAAGGCCTACAAACTTCAAATACCAGAGTGGTCAATACATGTTTATAAATTGTCCAGCAGTCTCATCGTTTGAGTGGTAGGCAAAACATTCTTAAGAGTCAAGATATCTAAAATTAATTCAATAGTTGATTATATATACATTATCTCTGTAGGCATCCATTTTCGATAACCTCTGCACCGCAAGAAGACTATCTTAGCGTTCATATAAAATCATTAGGAGATTGGACAAAAGCTATCAAAGGAGTTTTCTCCGAGGTCTTTTTTACTTATAAATCTCTAAACAAATGGATACTTTATAAGCCTTGACGTCGGTGAAAAATAGCTTGACAAGCATGATATGTTATGTCTCAGGTGTCAAAGCTAACTCCGGTCGGAGACATGTTGCATGGTGAAAATATTAATCCCAAGTAAGTATATATTCTAAATTATTTATACCAAAACCTAAATACAAGTGAATATTTGATTGTTCCAAACGTAACATGTAATTGTTTAACTCCACTTTCCACTTAGAAAAATAATTTCAAGTTAGTGTCGATTAAATTAAATAATCATGTTCCCACTAGTACTGGTTCTTTTGATTTGTTTGTGTGTTTGTTGGCGACGTCCAGGATTCCAACACGATCAGCCATCTTGGCTTTTCTTAAATAAATCACCACTATTAATTAAGAAAGCTTTCTTAAGTTAGTTGTGACATGATTATCTTTGAATTTGGTTTTATATACTTTATTAAGCTCTTTACTTAAGAAAAGCCAATTTTGTTAATCTTGAAATGGCAATGACCCGTTCTTCCACAGTTTCCCTAGAGTCATGATTGATGGTCCGTATGGCGCACCAGCACAAGACTACAAGAAGTACGAGGTAGTTCTGCTGGTCGGACTTGGGATTGGGGCGACTCCGATGATCAGCATTATCAAGGACATTATCAACAATATGGAGGCCAAGGAACATGCCCAACTCAACCAACCGGGGAAGAATTCGCAACATGGTAAGATCATAGAAACTTTCAGGACGCGAAAGGCTTACTTCTACTGGGTAACAAGGGAGCAGGGCTCATATGATTGGTTCAAGAACATTATGAACGAGATTGCCGAACGAGACAAAAGTAAAATCATTGAACTACACAATTATTGCACCAGCGTCTACGAAGAAGGAGACGTTCGTTCAGCCCTCATACATATGCTTCAGTCCCTAAACCATGCGAAGAGTGGTTTAGACATTGTCTCTGGGACAAGGGTCATGTCCCACTTCGCCAAACCTAATTGGGAAAACGTCTACAAACAGATAGCTATGGATCATCCTGGCTCTAATGTTGGTAAGCCCTTTCTATCCCTCTCATCAAATCAACTAGTAAGCGTATGATTGTTTTTTTGGGGTTGGTTCTAAGGTGAGACTGTGAGATTACTGCTAGATAAAGTACCAACCTCTTACGTCAACTTACATGATATGCTGATTTCACATCGAACTATTGCAGTCAAGTCATGCAAAAATATTATAACATATTAACATTAGCTTGAGTTTCACATGTTCAAAAGCATTGGTGTAGTTATAGTAACAAAGGTCAAGTATTGATTTGGTATTGTATTAGGTGCAATTGATGACTTTGGTTAGTCCAGTGCTATTTTTATTATTATAGAAAGAATGAAGATAATGATAGATAAGAAATTTTCTTATACATAAAAATGTGCAGGAGTGTTTTATTGTGGAGCACCGGCATTGACAAAAGAATTAAGACATCTAGCTTTGGAATTCACACACAAGACGAGAACAAAATTTTCCTTCCATAAAGAGAACTTTTAAAGAAAATGAAAGTTATACCCACGATGCTGATAAAGCGCATGCATGATCATGGCCAACACATTGTAACAATTGTGGAGTATGTTTGTGTTTTCAAAATTGAACTTGCCGTGTTATATTTTTTTTTTGTTATCAAAAAAATTCTAGAATAAAATGCGATCTCATGATATTATTCGAGTGTATCCAACAATCAAGTTTAGCATAAGTTATATTTTGTATATAAGTTTATGTATGCAATGCTCATATGTATATTTATTGCTTTTAGGATTATAAAAAAGGACAATCATGTTGTAAAAGTTTAATTGGTTATCGTTGATGAGTTTTGGTATTCGGACTTTAAAATTAATCAACCAATGAAAAGTTAACGAAAAAGGATGAATACAAACTGGTAGGCCCAAGTATTAGTGTGCGTTTGTTGATCGTGTGACGAATTATATCGCCGTTTATAATATTATAAAAAATGACTAGGCGAATATTTTTGGGTCGTCTCATTCTCATCAATCATCTTACATTAACATAGTTACATCCCAAAGAGTTTTAGAGATAGACAAGATTCCTTTTTACTTGTTTATAATTAAGGAGTATACACTAAACAATTTGCTTCTAAATCGTCCCTCCTTTTGCTTCGAGAGCATTGACGTGAGATACAAGAAACCAATTATTCCGTTTAATCATTTTTTTTTTTCTGCTCTCGTTTGGTTTCACGTAATGCAGAGAGTGAGCTTTGAAGTACCGGACTATCATCACTCAGACACGGAGGCGGAGAAGAGCAGCGAAGACATAGTTCCCGTGAGCGGATCATTGCCGTTGACCAACGAAAACCCGGCGATGGAAAACCTTGGAAACAAGGCGGCGGATGACGAATCGAGCGTGAAGGAAGATGATACAGAGCTGACGGCGCATAAACGGAGCGGTCGGGTGAAGCGGCTAGCTTCAGACGTTTCTAACAAGCTCAAGCGCTTGAAACCATCTGTCTTTGGAGAGAGTAAGCCAACTGGATTGGACCGTTCAAAGTCAACGGCTGGTCGGGCCTTGAAAGGGCTCAAGTTCATCAGTAAGACCGACGGTGACGCTGGCTGGAGTGCCGTGGAGAAGCGGTTTCTTAAGATCACGGCCACTACTGGTGGATTGCTACTTCGGTCAAAATTTGGTGAATGCATAGGTAAAAACATTGTAAAATAATTACAATTAACTTTGGAAATGATTTTGATCTAAATAGTATTGACATATTGCAGGGATGAACTCAAAGGATTTTGCTTTGGTATTGTTCGACGCATTAGCTAGAAGAAAGGGTGTGACAGGGGATGTGATTGATATGGACCACTTAAAGGAATTTTGGGAACAAATAAGTGATCAAGACTTTGATTCCAGGCTTATGACATTTTTTGACATGTGATTTTTTAATTAACTATCGCTCAATTTTTTGTTTTTTTTTTTTCATTAAAGTTATGGTGACGAGTGTAAAGTTTGAACCAAAGGGTTTGTGAAATGCAGGATGGATAAAGACGCCAATGGTAGATTGACCGAAGACGAAGTTAGAGAGGTAAAAGATTTTAGACTAATTATGAGGTCTTGATTGTTTCATACCATTGTTTTGTGTAACTTTCAAACACAAACAAAAATATGCTAAAGCTTGTAAGTTCATTTAGAAAAACCAAATACATTATTTACTTGAAACCAAACCACATAGAAAAAACAAACTCCAACATCTTAGATATTTTTCTTAATTATAATAGGTGGAGATTTAATTTGTTGAACTCTGTTCTGTCTATTTGTGTTTGGCAGATCATCAATCTTAGTTCGTCTGCCAACCATCTGTCATCCATCCAGAAAAAGGCTGATGAATATGCAGCAATGATAATGGAAGAGCTTGACCCTGACCATATGGGGTACATCATGGTAAACTTTCATGATGATGATCCTTTAACACAATCTTTGTCTTTCCAATATTGCTTCTATATATGTAACCTTAATTTGTGGTGATTTTAAAACAGGTGGATAGTCTTAAGAGATTGCTTCTGCAAGCGGAAACACAATCTCTAAGCACAAATAGTGAAGACAGAAAGGAGCTGAGCGACATGTTAAGTGAGAGTCTCAAGCCTACGCGTGACCCTAACCCGTTGAGGAGATGGTACCGTCAACTGAGATATTTCATACTGGATAACTGGCAAAGAATTTGGGTGATAGGGCTATGGCTCACCGTTATGGCCAGCCTCTTCGCGTACAAGTATATTCAATACAAGAATAAAGCAGTGTATGAAGTGTTGGGGCATTGTGTGTGCTTGGCCAAAGGTGCAGCAGAGACGCTGAAGCTAAACATGGCATTGATTTTGTTACCTGTATGCAGAAATACTATCACATGGCTTAGAAATAAGACTAGGTTGGGTGTTTTTGTCCCTTTTGATGACAACCTCAATTTTCATAAGGTAAAAAACCACACATTTTTCTTCATATTTTTAACATTTATGGTAGTGTTGTGGTTAAGTAATGGCCATATCGCTCTGAGGATGTGACCACTCGCCTATTGCACTTTTATGGTGGCCAATAAGGACGTTTTAAATGCAAACAAAAAATTAGTTTATACATGCTTCGAAATCATGTTAACCTAGTTATTATATATAAAAGAACACTTTTATCATCTATAGTAACTTGACGCATAAACCAACAGGTTATAGCCGTTGGAATTACGGTAGGAGTAGGGATACACTCTGTGGCGCACTTGGCTTGCGATTTTCCGCGGCTAATCTCTGCAACCCCAGAAGAATACACGCCTCTAAGAAAATATTTCGGGGAGGAGCAACCAAAGAGATACTTGCATTTTGTGAAGTCAACAGAAGGAATAACAGGACTTGTAATGGTTTTCTTGATGGCTATAGCTTTTACACTGGCACTGCCTTGGTTTAGACGGGGGAAGCTAGAAAAAAAGCTTCCAGGGCCACTAAAGAAACTCGCGAGCTTCAATGCCTTCTGGTACACTCACCATTTGTTTGTTATAGTCTACATTCTCCTTGTGGTTCACGGATACTACTTGTATCTAAGTAAGGAATGGTACAAGAAAACGGTGAGTATACTTCAGTGTCCAACATTCTTAAATCCTTGGAAAACGTAACTAACTGGGGGGTTTTGTTTCTAGACGTGGATGTACTTGGCAGTACCAGTAGCTCTCTATGCATGCGAGAGATTGATACGAGCATTCAGGTCCAGCATCAGGACAGTAAAAGTTCTTAAGGTAGCAACTTATCCTGGAAAAGTATTGACTTTGCAAATGTCAAGGCCTAAGAACTTCAAATACAAGAGTGGTCAATACATGTTCGTAAATTGTCCAGCAGTCTCACCGTTTGAGTGGTACGCAAAGAACATTACTCTTAAGACGCATCAAAACTAAACCCGTTTCAATATATATCATCTGGATTATATGTGTTACACATCTCTGCTGCAGGCATCCATTTTCAATAACTTCTACACCACAAGAGGACTTTCTTAGCGTTCATATAAAATCACTAGGAGACTGGACAGAGGCTATCCAAGGAGTCTTCTCCGAGGTCCTATTCACTTTTTAATATCTCTCTAACTTATATATATATTTTATCAGTCTTGGAGTCCGGGTAAGATAGTTTTTGTGTGGATGTCTCAGGTATCTAAGCCATCTCCGGCGGGAGGCACATTGCATGGTGCAGATAGTCCCCGGTAATTAAGTATATTCTTCTATGTTTTTTTTTTTTTTTTTTTTCATACAATCATATATTCCATTAGAAAATAAGTGAAGATAAACATATAATTTTTTTAATATATAGTCAAATAAATATCAAAACGAAACCATCAAATGACAACACCCAATTAAACTGTTAATCAAAGAGAAGTTTGTAAATTGTAATGTATCTAAGAATTTGGCAGTTACGATGAATCGTGCATCATGATTGAATACTATGATGTTGGTATACGTGTTAATTTCATCTACCTATAGTTAGGAAAACAACTTGCAATTTAGAAAAAAAAAAAAAAAAAACAGAACACATCTCTCGAATTCATTAATATAAATAAATACCCTACCGATCGAATATTTTATCGTTGATTGTATAGACGACTAGGAAACCTAGGACCTTCGTTAATTTATGTTTTATTGGAGTCCGAAGATTCAGCCAGTCTGGCTTTTCTTCTTAAAAGATATATACGTGAAAGGTCGACGTTATAACGAACACTACTACTATATTTTATGGAATTGATTAAGATACCACATTCTGTAAATAATATTATATGTATTGGCATCTAAATATCTAAAGAATATATATATTACTTGGTAGTGGGGCATATGAAAATACATACAGATAAAAACTTCATATGCATGATGTAGTACCATGGTTTGTTGTTGGAAATGAAAATCTGACGTTGTAGAATTTAAAATGGCAACGACCCCTTCTTCCACAGTTTCCCCAGAATCATGCTTGATGGTCCGTACGGCGCACCAGCTCAAGACTACAAGAAGTACGAGGTAGTTTTGCTGATTGGCCTCGGCATTGGAGCCACTCCCATGATCAGCATTATCAAGGAAATTATCAGCAATACGGAGACCAAAGAACAGCTCAGCCAAATGGAGAAGGGATCGAAACAGGAGCCACAAGGTAAGAAAGAAACTTTCAAAACGAGAAGGGCTTACTTCTACTGGGTAACAAAGGAGCAGGGCACTTTTGATTGGTTCAAGAACATCATGAACGAGATAGCAGAACGGGACAAAAGCAAAGTCATAGACCTACACAATCATTGCACTAGTGTTTACGAAGAAGGAGACGTTCGTTCTGCGCTGATACGTATGATTCAGTCTCTAAATTATGCCAAGAATGGTTTAGACATTGTTGCTGGGACAAGGGTCATGTCCCATTTCGCAAGACCTAACTGGAAAAACGTCTACAAACAAATAGCTATGGATCACCCTGGCGCTAATGTTGGTAAGTTCTCCTTCTCCCATCTCCAAATCAACCAGTAAGCGTATATATGGTTATTGTGTTTTGGTTTGGTTTTCAAAAGGTAAGATTACATCAAAACTACAAACCCTTATTCATTGTGATGCTTTGTTATAGGCATGCTTGCATCAACTTTCATGATAAACTGATCTTCATGCCGCACTAATGCAGTCAGATCATGCAAAAAGATTAGCTTAGCTTTATAATTTTTTACACGTTCCAAAGCATTGGTGCATGCAGGTTATAGTAATTACACATAGGGTAGATTTATATTGCTTTGGTATTTTAAAGGAAATTATCATATTGTAATCTAATTAATGACTATAAAGATATGATATAAACTGAGAATGCATACATAATGTGCAGGAGTGTTCTATTGTGGAGCACCGGTATTGACAAAGGAACTAAGGCATCTAGCTTTGGAATTCACACACAAGACAAGTACTAGATTCTCCTTCCACAAAGAGAACTTCTAAAGACAATATTGTAGCTTCTACCCACAATGCTGATCAAATAGAGTTTGATGGCCAACAAATTAATGAAATTTTGTGGTCAGTGTGTCGAGTTTCTGTTTTGAGAATTGAATTTTGGTGTTGTTTTTTGTTTCCTGAATAAAAAGTGGGTTGTAATGATTATATGGAATGTATGTTTTAAGCACTTACACTTTTTTTAGCTGCATTATCTAACTTTTCATCAAAAAGAGAGTACAACTAACTTTTCATCGCCGGATGCTGTCGTTACATATTACATTACAATAAACATGTGGCCAAATTCAATATTTTGGGGTCTGCAAGTTTGTACAGACCGTCCTAGTAAGTGTAGGAAGAGCTAATGAGAATCTCTTGGGCGAGTTCAAAGGAGTATGCATGTCTTCCACGAAAATCCTTCTCGGAATATGCTATACAGAGATCTATGGCAAAATTCCCAAAAGGATAGCTAACCATCCTCACAAGTATTTTTAAACTTGAAATTCTGCATCCAAAAGAAGATATGAAGGAGCAAAAGTTGAAATTCACATCAAGAGGAAGGATCCACAGAGCTAGGAGAAGAGAGTAAAAAACAGACTTTACTTGCCATTCTCCCTGATCAGTGATCACTATATCAATTCTTGAAAGCAACGTAACCTATTCTTGATCCCAAGATCTAGTAGAAGTATGCATGCATTCGGCTCTCGATTCATTAACAATGATGCCATATACTGTTCCTTAGTGTCATTAGAACAAGTTAAAGAATGATAAATGAATAGTTTTCCAACAACTGACCTATTTGTTTACATGGGTCTACATTGGAACAGCTTCAATAAGCCTAGAGAAGTAGAACTGAGTGGTCGTAAGTCCTCTCTTGCTGATTTTCCAGCCGACTTTACGCAATGCTCTCTCCACATCCGCCTCAGAGTGTAGATAAGCTCTTGTGGCCTTTGATGGCCCTGGGAAAAGCTCTCCAATTCTCTTCAAGATATCATAGTAAAACGTCTTTGGAGCAAAACTCAGAATCACTCTCTTCTCTGCTAAAGAAGCAAGGTGCGCTATCATTCCGTCTGCTTTGTTCTGCGGGTAATGTATCAGCACGTCAAGGCATACCACTGTGTCGTACTTCCCATTTAAGCTCTCTAAATCATTCACTTCAAATCTTGGTAAATTCCCTGGCGGTAGTTGTGACTTTGCCTGTGCATATTCAAAACAACGCCCAAATGATTCAGAAATCGAGAAGGCAGTTCCTTAACATTTCTATGTCAAAACATCTTTATCATCGAGCATCTAAATTCTGCATTTTGTTATGAAAATTTATATCTAGCTTGCCAAGAGATGAACCTATACTAGCACCAGGCAGAGGAACTTAGCTCGGGTTTGAAATTAGGTATCATGTATAAAAGTGAAGTGTTACGAAACCAGAAGTTGCATTTTGAAATTCGACCAACAACCAAAATTGAATCGAGAGAGGTCACCTTCATCTCAGCTTCGGCAACCATAGCAGCAGAGATATCGGAAGCAGAGACGATTGCTCCTTCCTTAGCAAGAGGAATCGAGAGCAAACCAGTTCCACAACCGGCATCACATACAGTGACGCCGGCCAATGATCTATCTTCTTTGAGCATAAGCATAGTGTTCTCCACCGTCTTAGCATGGCCGAGTCGGATATCCTTCTGAACACGATTCACTTCATCAGTATCACCGTAGATCTTCCTCCACCTCTCGAAACCAGTGCTGTTGAAATACTCCCTCACCACCTCCTTGTCGCCTCCTCCAACTTCCTCCGCCTGCAATTTCCGCCTCCTCTCCGGATCCGTCAAGGAAACCATCGCCGCGAGTGCTGCTACGGAGCCGCCTCCGAGTACGGCGATCGTTGTGCTGTCGACTCCGGCTAGGTCGGTGACGGATGCCGCGACGACGGTGGCGACTCTGCTCCGGGGAGTTGCATTGAACCTAGTGGAGTTGGGGAACTTGGGAAGAAATTGAGAGACAGAGGAAGACGATGACAACAAGGAAGGAGCAAACGGCATTATCGAAGTTAAAGGGAAAGCCAAAACAAAATGAGACCTTTACTCTGTGTTTGGCGCCGTTGCAGTGATGAAGAAAAGTGTTAACGTTATCCTGGATAAGATAGGGAAGGAGACGATCCACATTTCGATTTCCATGGGCCCCACTATAATGCAGGCTCGTTTCTTTACTTTTTTATTTAACGTCTCTGACCTTTTATTTCAAGAACTTTCGTGATTTGCCCCTAAACTTACGAAATCTCGTATTTCACCCTATTTGTTTTTAATCTCGACTGCTCTGTTACTGGATGTAACTTTTGTTCAGATTTTTGTTCTCAAAAACTTGTATGAGGTAAAGTATTGAAGAGTATATTATACAAGTAACAACATGGAAGTCAAAGAATATCCACAACAATAGGAACACAGTCTGAAAGCAAAGCATGTACATTGTAGTATTGAATTCTTCTGTCTTTCTAACCTTTTGTGGAAAAGGAAGGAGAGTGATTTTGATAACCTTTGTGTGTGTATATGTGTGTGTGTGCGTCTATGTCGTGAATGTAAAATATTGGAGGCAAAGGCGAGATTAGAGGTGGTCGGTCACTCATCATAGTAGTCAGAAACGGAATGAGAAGGAAGAAAAGATGAGTCGATGAGTTCCTTACGAGATGTCTCCCACAACTGTTGTTCTATTCCGAGCTTCCTTAGCTCCCTCATTCCTCTTTCCACTGCCATACAAACCACACAGAAAAATATCAGACTCTTAATTTTTTATCAACCTATTGATTTAACTTCAATGTAATACTACTATACCATCAACTGCATCATGTGAAGATGGCTGTTGCCCGAGACGATTGATCCAGAACTGAAGACGCTCTTCCGCTATATCACTTTCCACGCCGTGGATTTTAGCTCTTTTCCAAAAATACAGCAACCATGCCTAGAACATGTATGTATGTGTTTTGAGTCAATGCATATGATCCTTATAAGTAAAAGCCTCTCCCGGTTAAAGATGGTAATGTTACCTCTTTAAAGAGAATATCATGTTGCTCATCTTCGCTCAACTCTGCATTCAAAATTCAGAAGAACTATTCATCAATAATCCCTTCTTGTAACAACACAAGCTAGGTTCGGTTAAAAGTCATGTTAAATTAGTATGATACTATGTCTAGATTTTTACGAAAACAGTTTTAGGGATGTGACTAACCAAATGCGTCGGAGAACTTAGATTCCCCTTGTACCCTGGAATCTGGATATCAAAATGATAAGAGTGTCGGTTGTATTAATATTTACATGATCAGAATTTATATGTGGCCATATCATTTTTAGATATAATTTACCACTGACGGCTTGTCGGACCACATTTCTGTGTCTAGACCGAGCAAGTGCAAGCATTAAAGCATCCTCTACCTATGAGATGCAGGAAATGATATGTATGAAATAGTCATTTTTCTAAACAAGAGATTGTCTACTAAAAAACATCAAACTAAGATTAGAAAAATGTGGGCATAAACCTTCAAGGATGCTATCTCTCGCAAACCCGCTTCAACAGCAAGCATACTCTCTATGTTTCCTTCTCCATTGACATCACTGAAATTACTGACGATTTTGCTCCAAGTGCGGTCGCTACCACCTGTCAGATGATGTTTTGCCATTTACTTTTAAATCTTTAGATAAAATGCTTAGTTTTGTGAAAAATATTGGGAGGATAATTGAGGATTAGACCTGTTTGCCATGAGTCTTCAGGCTTTTGGGCAGCAGAAAGGACAACTTCAAAGGGAAGAGGAGCTAAAGCTGACCAACGTTCATGTCTTAACGTGGATATATCATCACATATTCCTAAATATCACCCAATGAGCTGCATAAGTAACTATTTCCAAAAGAGAAATGCAAGTTCTTTTTCGATCAAATCCCACTAGTTAAGTCTACCCTCAGATAATTAATCAGGTAGTTGGGAACTAATAGTTGTTCTCCATGTCAGTATAAAATATTACAATCTAGTGGACAGTACCCTGAGCGAATGGAAAATCTTCAAAACCCTTTGAACTCTTGGCACCAAAATGAGAAGAACAGGTTACATTATCTTATAAATCATTGCAGGTCAAGACCCAACAGAGAATAGAACGGTTGTATCTTTAGGAGAGAGGGGCTTCTTACCATGTTGAACAGCTAGTTCCCAGTAGCGAGCAAGCCAGCATCTCTTTAGGACAACTTCCTCCTACAAGGTTGGTCAATATTATAGTCAATCAAACAAAGAAGGTTTGGTAAACTGTCGAATGTACGTAATTCTAGTTTGGTTTGTGAACAAACCATTTCTTCTTGAGTCAGAATGGTTCTATGTATCATTGTTCGAAGAGACTTTGTTTCAGCTTCAGCCTCGTGGAGCTGTTCGGCAGCCTTCTCAGCTTCATCTTTCAAGCACTGATCACAACACAACACAGAGAAGATAATTGTTCCCTTTTCAAGTTGAAAGGTGTTAAGAATAGAGACTAGAGCACACTATACTGTTTAGTACCAGTTTGAATAGACTATACACATTAGAGAATTATACCTGAAATTCTGCACTTAGGGCATCAGTTTCCCTATTTCTTCCATCTCTTTTCTGTTCAGCAGCCCTTAATGCTGCCTGCAAAATATTTATGTTCTCCCTTTTGAATAATTTTACTGTCAAGGCAAATGCCAAGACAAGCTAGCAGAAGAATAAAGGACATGTATATTGCAAAGAACAAATGAAATAACATCCATTAAGATATGAATGCAGTACGGACCTCTCTTTGACGCAATGCGGCTTCTTTCCTGGAGGAATCAGTGGAAGGTTCGTGAAAACCCAATAATTGTGAATGCAGAATATATTAAAGACAAGAAAAACAAACCTCTTCAAGAGCTTGACATCAAAGTTTGCTCCTTCACCTAGAGAAGCAACCTGTTGTAAGTCATACCAAGCTTAAAAGTAACCATCAGTCCATCAATATTGTAGATAAGTATACATGTCTACAAAAGTAAACTATACTAGATATCATAAACACCTGTTTCTCAAGCTCTTTAGCCCTTGCTTCTGCTGCTTCGCGTCTTTCTTCAGCATTGTGAAGCTGAATATGTAACTCAAGAAATATACATATCATATACGAAAAGGCAGCAAACACACACAAATGAACTATGTCAAGATACAGAGACAGAGAGAGAGGCCAAGCTGACCTTATCCAGTATATTATCGTTTTCTTCTTGAAGCATATCTAACTGCAATGATAATGAGTTTGTTTATGAGAGTTCAATAATTTAACCAAAAATTTTTTTGAGTAATTTGTGAACCACCTACTTCATCACGCAGGGCTGAAGCTTCTCGATCATCTTCCTGCTGGTTATAGTTATTAGGTGCTAAAATATCTGCAGGACGAAACCTGAAACTAATAGTTCATTGCCAGTAATTTCGTCAAACACAACACATGCAAAAGAAGGCTGAGACTTGAAAAAAAAATTGTAAACTGATGAGAACATAACCGAACCTATCATAAACACATAAACTCCGATTTTACCTTTTCTTATACTTTAATTGAGCTTCCGATTGTTTTTGTGGTACATCAAATTGAACATTTAGTTTCCCTTCTCCGTTCTGCTCGAATTCCTCCAACGGATTCCGCCGCGAATATGCCGGAACTCTAACCCTCAGTGCACCCTTACTAGTCTTTTCAGGACTCTCCACCGGATTCCGAGGCACGTCACCTTTAATTTTATCACCGTCGACTTCATCATCATCAAATTTAGGCGGCGGAAGTGCGACTGGTCTCACCGCCGGAGCTATCATCCCGATGACCGGACCCCTAATCTCCACTGGATTCCGGGGAACATCAGCTATGATTTCGTCACCGTCTATTTCATCGTCAAATCTAGCCGGTGTAAGTACGACTGGTTTCACCGTCGGAGCTTTTTTCGGATCCCTAACATTCTTTTTAGGAATTATCATCGGACTCTGGGGCACATCGGGTATAATTTCGTCTTCGTCGGATTCACCGTCAAATTTAGGCGGACGAAGTATGACCGGTTTCTTCGCCGGAGCCTTTTTCCCGCTGACCGGACCCTTACCGGTACGCTTATCACCTCGTCTTCGAGACTGAGTAAGAGGCGGAAGATGTACCTGGTACAGATCTTCGCCTCCGTCTTCATCGTCGTAATCATAATCATAATCGCGCTTCTCCATGACTTTCGCGAGCAGCTCCGCGGCGTTTTGTTTCCGAAGCGTGCTCTTGCCTGAGATTCCTCCGCCGCCGCTGGTCATCCGATGTGACGGAGACATCGTGGGTGAAGAAGAAGCGGAGGTTCCTGGTCTCCGCGCCATGTCTGTGAAGAAGACGGAGTCAACAAGGTGGGAAAGACTTTTCGGATTGAGCAGCTGAGGAAGAAGTAGAAGGAAGAAGGGAGAAGATGTAAACGTGGACCGAAGGGTGGCGGGAGAGGAAGTTGAGAGAACATGGGACCCATTTTTTAATATTTGTTTCTCTCAACTAATCCCATTTGTACAATATTTTAATTATTAGTACTAATTTATTTAGTTTTGTAATACAAATTGTATTGTACAATAGTATTTTTTGGTAGGTTTACATATATTAATCAGTTTAAATAAAATATTTCAGGTGAGATGATGTTGGTTTTTGGTATGTTATGAACGTCCATCCACTCGAACACGATCACTTATTGTACAGGAAAAATTATATAGGTAAATATTCTATGTTTTCCAAACTTACTAATCTCTCAATATCTCTTTCGTTTACATTTTGTAATGACATTTTCAAAATGATAAATGCATCTCAAACAACGCAAAACATGTTGTTGGTAAAGCAATAATATGGATAGTGAATTTAGTGAGTTGGAAATGTTTATACAATAATCATATTATGAATTTATGATACAGAATATAATATATCTGTTGTTTACATTCGCTTTATATATTTTTGTTTGAGACACTTGTGTTTAAAACAAGATTAGACAAAGATCATAATATAGAAAATATAGGACTTGGAATTATCACCTTACGCTATATAACAGAGCAACACAAATACTGTATACATCTTGCAGCCTAGAGCAGCCGGAACATTGCTTACACGACTATCATATGTGCAAATTGCATCTATTAGGGTGTAGATTTTACATTTTAAGAAGAGATGGTGTCTTGTTATGCAAGATTCTTAACCTATAATCTTTGTCATTTTATTTCATTCGACAGTCATATACAAGAATAAGTTAGGTTTAGTTTATACTCTCATTCTCCTTTCAATGTTATAGGAGGTAGTAGTTAACAAACTATTGTTGATGATAGCTAGCTAGTGACACAAACACACATTTATATATTCGCCATAAAAGACCAATCACCACAAAGAATCAAATCTCAACTTACAAAAGTTGTCTCATCATCAAACATCCAAATCCAATCTTAGCGTCCAAAAGAAAAGAAAAAAAGTAACAAAGGGTCTAATATACCAAAATGAAACGCTCTCAGACCAAGAATAAGGTCAGACTGATAAATAAAAAAAGATAGCCGGTTCGATGTTACCGGTTTTTGTTAAACCGGGAGAGTTCAGGAAGTTTCCGCCGCGGGTTTCTTCTGAACAAGGTCTTCTATCAAATCAGCTGCCTCTTGGATCGTCGTAATGTTTTGAGCATCAGATTCCTCCACACTTATGTTAAACTTTTCCTCCAATGCCATCACTATCTCCACCTGATTCCATCCATATTCACCCAACAGTATATATGAATTTATAACACAAAAATAACCAAATACATATAGAAACAACAAATCATATTTTTGCATTGAAAAAGTTGTAGTAACGATACTTTTAAAACTGGTTACGTTATTAGAAAACAGAGCGAAGACAACATCACGTTAATATGAAAGAGAGCCATAACATACGGTGTCGAGAGAGTCAGCACCAAGAGCAGAGAACTTGGATTCGGCAGTGAGGGGAGTGTCCGCGGTCAAAGCCAATTGTTCCTTTACAATGTCACTCACTTTCTGCACAGTCTCTGCTTTCGCCTGTATCCTCACACACACGTTACTACAATCAACTTATTGCATTTCTCATATCATATATACAAGTTTAGTTGACGCAAATCTTTTATACTTACAGCGCAACTGATTTGAAGACGAAGGCTCTTTGAAGACGTGAAGCGACCGAAGGAGATAGACTGGAAACTTATGCCTTTCCTCAACTCCTGATGATTACAATATTCAACGCTTAATTACAATTTCAAAAAACTTTAATTCAAATATTAAGAATGTGGTTAATGAAGATGTTTAGCGGGTTTCACATGTGGTTGCACAAAGAACTACGAGAACAGAACTATACATTGAGATTTGAAGAGAAGATTTTGTAAGAGTCACCTGAGAAATTCTGGTAGACGGAGCTTTGAAGCTTAGAGAAGTGGTTGATAAAGAAGCCATTGAATAAGATGAAGCTCAATACAAAACTCAAGAGACCCAAAAGAAAAACAGAGTAAAAATGGCTTCTCTTTTAGTTGGATAAGGTGTAATCTCTTAAAAGAAGATGAATCTTTACGTTGGAGCAAGTAGAGAGATACGCAAGATACGGCGTCGTGCTGCGATACGCAAGCACAAGGGTTTGAGGTTCTGTGGCGGAGGTTTGTTCTCGGGGATTCCAGGCCTATCTTCGGCACATGTTCCCATGGGTCCCACTGTTGCTTAGTGGACTTATTACGACAGGCCCAATCCAAAACACAAGTGTTACTTCAACGGGCCCATTTTAGTGTATGTATAGTTGTGTTCTGTTTGTGTGTTGCCACTACTTCAATCATACTCGCAAGGCTTCATTGATGTAGTAACATTCTATTTCAAGATCCATCATCCATCTTTCGTAGTTTATTTTTAAAATCTATATGTGGTGGAAGACTATAATTTTTTGAAGAAATATGTAACATTGTCGTGAGACAGAGTATTGATCGGAGTATTTATTTTTGTCAAGCTTTTTAGTATAATTTGGAAGAGTATGATTAGGTTTTTTTTTTTTGGGTGGCGATTGATATATCATTACTAATAACATCTCATGCATGCAAGATTATCTCTTAGTTATGAGTTTGTTCTACGTTAACACGTATTTTACAGTTTGATGGAGTATATTCGAATTCTCTTTTCTAAATACTTTATTTTTGTTTATTGTATTTCCTCCTAAGATAATAAGAGAACTACACACAACATAAAGAGCAGGAGAAGTCACAATAATGATAAATCCACATACACAAGGAATCACACAAATTTCATTCTTTAGTAGTATCATCATCAAATCAAATTTTCATTTTATAAAATCCAAGTAGTGTATATAACAAAGACTGAATAATCTTGGAGTAGAAGGAATTGTAATTGTATAACATAAAATGTAAAAAAACAATCAGTAATGACGAGAGGCGGAGGCAGTTAAGATCGTAAGGATGAACAAGAGGACGAAAGAGGCGAAGGACAAAGCGAGTGAGATAGTGACACGGTTGCAATAACGGTGCACATAATCACATATCGGAAGCCAACCTGCCTGTTTGTTACCGTACTTCCCGATATGTCCTTCCGCCAAGGCCGCAGAGAAAGCCGATATCGCCGTCATCGTCGTAAGCTGTACATCAAAACATATCAAAACTCATCCTAAAACGTTCATATATTTAATAATAATCTGTTAAGAAGCTTATTCAAAATAAAATGTATTCACGTATAAATTAACATATTTTGATATCTAAAGATAAAAAAAATGTAGATTGAAAGCACGTAAAATAATTACCAAATCAAAGAAGAAGAGTGCGAAAATAAGTCCTCTTCTACGAACTGCTAAACATGCCCATATTAGTGAGAAAAATGTCGCGGCGCAGATTGCTATCTGTGCGTACACCAAATACCTGTCAAACATCAAATCATATACACAACTTTCATTAGCATTGATCCTCATCACTAGCTTGATCGATCTAGCAGCGCATGTACGTATAAAGAGTCTTGTATAGTTGTATTGTATATGATGGTGTCTTATAATATTAATGGTGGTGATGACACTGTTTAATTAAGGTTGTCCTTGTTTTAGGTTCAAGTGGTAAAACATATATATATGAGACAAAACAAGCAACTAAAGGTAATGAAATATGGATGATTCATTTTTATAAAAAAAATGTAGTGTTCTATAATTGTTTTCCTACATCAAACGTGAGGGATATGTTTCTCTTTTAGATAAATTCATCTTTCAATCTTTGTCACCGTATTTGTGTTGTTTGTTTTCTTCATAATTTTCAACGTGAATGGTGAAAATTTCATGCATGTGATCGAATGCTTTGTTGGGTACTATATATATTATTTCAACAATTAGATCATTGCACCTCCAGAAAAAATATATAAAGAATAGCTGGTGATAGGAAAAAAAAAAAAGAAGAAGAAAAGAAAATCAATTAAAAAAATACGTACTTAAAGGCAGAGGCGTAGCTGTATTTAGCCTCAAAAGCGATGCCATAAACAGAGGCGACTTCACGGTTAGTGATCATGACCCACATGGAGGCCATTGCAGCTCCAAAGGCTAACACTCTCATCGACACTTGAACCCCGAGGTTCAATAACGGCGTTCTTCTTCCTTCATTATTGTCTCCCATCATTTTTATTTCGAAATTCAAGTTTTACAATTTCCTTACTAATTGTTAGAGAGATAAGGCTAGGAGAAAAAGGAACGAAAAAAAAGAAGACAGTAAGACAAAGATATTGTTGTTGTTGTTGTTGTTGTCGTGTAAGAGATGCGAAAACTCAACGGATCAGACAAGAGAAAGAGAAGAGAAGAGAAGTGGGTTGGAAAAGAAGAGATAGTCAGAGGAAGAGAATTTATAGGGACGGTTCATTTTGTGGGTGAGATCGCAAAACAAGATATACAATTGTAAGAACGTTTTGATGATCGAATCTTCTGCCTAAACTGATGGGTACTTTCTGTTTGAATACTTTTATTTTGGTAACAAATCTTAGTATATACACGTCACTTTTTCTATTTTCTTGGTTTTCTTAAAAAAATAAATTGAATAAACTCTTTTAAGATAATTAATCGAATTTCTGTTTATATATCATGTTACATGCACGATGGTAACAAATATCATCATATTTTTAAATAAAAATCTAGTTTTTATAATATAATAATGAAAATTCTTCACTGATTTAACATAAAATAGTTTAATTTTGGTAATTAATCCCTATCATTTTATAGTTATTTTCTTCACTTTTACATACATATTTAAGTGAGATTAAAAAAAAAAAAAAACAGGATGAATTTGTTTTGAAGTTTTCACTAAGTACTGTATTTTATTTACTATAAGTTAAGAAAATAAATTGATAGAATATTGAAATCTTAAACTATTGTCTATTTATATAAGGGATATTATCTATGAATATATAATATATATTATTTAAAGGTCATAAATTTTCATTTATATTTCTTTCCCAATACATTATACTTCTTATGAATTGATGTGGTGTTGGTTACAACCATTTTGTTCATCCTATATCCTATATTCCTTTACCCTTATAATTTATATAAATTTGTTATTTTATCATTTCACATCTTTTGTTTTCGGAAAAGAGACAAACTCAACTTTCTGAAAACAAAGTTGATACCATCATATTACCAGAAATTGTAAAGAGCATATGAAAATCATGTGACGTATTTTTGAACCTTATTTGTTTTAATTTCGAAATCCGACGCACCTTATGAGTTTTCTTGTACGACGCAAATTACAATACTAGAAAATAAATAACAGAAGCACACGTACAGTTATAAGAAAAACATGCAAGCATTGTATGACATCTTGCTACGAGACTAGCAAAATATTATTGTAAGAGTTTTGCCGTATTCGAAAATACATTTTTAAATGCATAACTTTCATATATGTGTTTTTTTTGTTCTAGACCTATGATGGATGGTTATATCGGAGTGGTCTGTTCGATCACAAATGCTTTCGATTTAATAATCCTTGAGAATGATTCAATAAATATAAAAGGAATAACTTTACCCTAAAGAGAATGAGCTTAGTAATTGAGTTTAATGTTCCATAATCCATAACCAATCATCTTAAAACAAAAGTTTAAAAACTCTTGAGTGGGTTTTCTCTCCTAGTCTCTCCCAAGTGGCCTGCCTTTTTAACTACTTAGACAAGTTCTCTGCCAACTTCAGAGTAGGTTTAGCAAGATGCAAGAGTGGACCCAAAGCAGTGATCACGAAATGCAATGTTTTAATTACTACACCATCAACCACTTTGACTGGCGTTTTGCAATTTGCAACTTTGTATTTGTTGTATTTTCTTGTAATGCCATCAAGATAGAGCATCAGCAATAATAGAACGACTCTCATTTGAGAAAAAGTTTCTAATTAACAATATTGTTCATATTTGAAAACCAACGTTACGTTGCATTTGATGTGCATAAACTCCAACGCTAGATCAGTCCAGTCCCTCGGTTTCCAACTTTTCTTTCCTTTTATTCAATCAAACAAGTGTTTTACATTTGAATACAATTAACAGTTTTAAGAATGGCTTTTATTCTTGTTTTTCTCAAACATTAAGAAACTTTTTAAATACAATCGCCGAAAAAAACAAGGAAATAATTATATATGGATAAATCTTGCGAGAAAACAAAATCTCTTCAGCAGACAACACTAGCTGCTCCGGAAGTCACAGGACTAGCAACATCAAGCATCATGGGATTCCATTTCATCACCACTTTATCACCGCATCTTCCATCAGATGACACTCCCGCAAATTGCATCTGATTTGCTTCAACAGAAGATGGATTTGGTACCTCCAATGTCAACTTCTTCTCAGCTACTGACTTGAGCCTCCGCCTCTCTGCTCTTGACCCAATTACCTGTCCCAAAACTGATGCTGCTATCGTGAATACCATCGCTGTCTTAGGCATCAACACTGACTTTCTCAGTATTCCAATGAATGGTACCGCTGCGTGAAGAGCTACAAACCAAGATGCAGAATATTTTTCAGTGTGCTCTCTCCAAACCCCTAAAGGCACATTTAGTGCCATGCCCAGCATCCCGATCACTAGTACTTTTGCTGGTAAGGGTTGTGGGCGGAGGTTCTTGGCAAAAGGTGTTTTTGAAATGGCTGCTCGAGCTGTGACTATTGCTTGAGGGCATTTGAATTTCATGCCCGGAGGAGGTTGCAGGATCTTTGCCACAAGCGGTGCCACACCACTTACAGCTCGATATGATTTTGCAATTGGGCAGTTTCCTGTTTTAAGCCATTCGTCACCCATAGCTTCGTGGTTTCCTCCCTGAAAGAGAAACAACAAGTTAGAGGTGCTCTAAGAGAAACACAGCATAAGCGAGGCAACACATGCATACTTGAGCGTCCTTAAAAGCTAAACTATTTCCTTAGTCAGATTTTATAAACCATGCACATCAGTTTAGGAAGATAGATGTTGAGCAAGAACTGTAAAAAACCATTACCTTATTTTTGGATGAGTCAGACTTCTTCTTTTGATTTTTAAACATGTCAGAAAATGCATCAAACCCAAAAGGGCCTCCAGGTCCAAAGGATGAGAGACTAATCGTTGCAGCCTTGGCAGCAAGTGGATGGAATGCAGGCACAGGCTTCTCCGCTTCAGCTCGAGGGGTGCCAGAGAGAGGGACAACTCCATCTTGGCCATGGAAAAGCCTAAACGCCGTATCAAAATTGGGACCATCTTCAAATATTGGTCCTTTCCCTGCTCTTGCCTAAAAGGATCAAATAGAACATGTGATGAGACAAGATCAGAACGGATGCGAGATGTTTACAGATATAGAGTGAAGCAGCAGAATGTATATATCTTACAGGAATGGGAAAAGGCAAGGAAGAGGAGAAGGAGAGGTTAGTGGGCTCATTGATGTTCCTCAAGAAAGGGCATCTGAGAATGTCTAACTGAGAAGCCATGGGGTTTTCTCCAGTACAATTATCCATTCTTGTTGAGCTGAAAAAGGACAAGAATCTAAAACAACAAACAAACAAACAAACAAAGGAATTCATAAGAAATAGAGAAGAAAGCTAATGAAGCAAGCTAAGTAGCCAGAGAGAGAGAGAGAGAGAGAGAGAGAGAGAGAGAGAGAGAGAGAGGCAGGGGATGCTTTCTACACATATGGGGAAGTAAGTATCAGATGCAATTTACATGGAGAATGAACAGATAAGATGCTCAAACAACATCCACTAAGCTTTCAAAAATACAAAAAATCATATCCCAGAATTTAGAACCTTAAAGTCGTTAATGGGGGCAAAAATAAATAAATCAATAACGTCTTCTGAATCAAAAGAAATCACATTTTGAGTCAATCAATCTCAACATAACTGACTTAACCGGAAATAAATAAAAAATGGAAGAAGGAATAGGAAGAAATCAATCAATTTCAAAAACGAAAGCAATCGGGGGTGTAGGCAAGGAGAATCATCAAAAAGACTCTGGGAATATCAATTAACAAAATTCCCAGAAATCAGTACAGCAATAGAGTCTAAGAGGAGCACTAGTGATCCAAAAGAGGGGTTAAGCGAGTCTGTCTGTCTCTAAAACCTAAATCAGATCTAGAATATATATACAAATCAACGCCAAGGAATCACAAAGCACAAGCAAAAGAGCGAGAAAAAGAGAGGTGGGGAATATATAAAGAAAACTTACGGATAAGAGACAAGAAGAGGCGATGAGATGATTGAAAGAGAGAAATGAGATGAACCGATGAGAGGCGTGTGTGAGCAACGATACAATCAATACACAAATTCCTTTTTGGAGAGAAGGATTTTTGTACAAAAAGGGGTGGATGAGAGGTTAGGTGGTTGGTAATGTAACGTGGAGAAGATGGCGTTTTCTTATTAAGACCACCAAAGATGATAATCTTATTATTACTATTACGCTATTAGCTAGCTGGTGAGAGACTTTGTACCTGCTTCTTCTTCGTGCTCACCACGCGCTCTCTCTCTCTCTCTCTCAGCATCACTTCTTTGACAAATTGCACATGATTATATTGCAATATGCATGCCTTGTTTGAATTCTCTAATTCCCCACAACTCTCGATTTGTCAAACATTTGACTTTTCTACAAAATAACACTCCGTCGTATCTCCCTCTTTGACCCAGAATAAATATCCCGGCTTTCATGTTATCATGTATACAAAGAATCTTAAATGGCATATGACTTTTGTTTTATGAGAACCAGTGCAGAAAAGGAAAGAGTCTATCGTTTTAACAGAATTTTGTGATGGATCAACGCATCATAAAATTTTGCGTTGTAGTATTATTACTAGCCCATTAAGATATTTAAGCTCATCGGCCTATTAATCTAAGCACTTAAACAAACAAAACCCTCAACACGGTTCGAAACGAAACAATCACCATTAAACTATGAAGAAGAAGCTTTCTTTCTCTCTCCCTCCCAAATCCAAATCCAGAGTTAGGCCGATTCCTCAAGAAGTTCTTCACTGGATTACTAGATTCTTAGTTATCAGTTATCACGTGAAATTGAGGTCTCGAGTTCTTTATATATTTAGTAATGAAAATTAAAATCAAGTAATGTCAAAACATCTTTTGGATTTGAATTACTCATAATCATATGTGGGAATAGCTTTTGGAATTTTGGAAGCGATGAGATCTAAAACCAGCTCTAGTTGTCATGTCTTTTTAAGCTCATTATTTTTTTTTTAAGAATAATATATGGTGAAACTAAGAAAATGAACTAAATTCAGCTCAAATGAGAAACTTCATGGATCAATCTAATTGATGAAAACTTAGGGCACCTAGACTTGGGAATCAAGTCATTACATAACTATATGAACCAACTCAGGCACTATATCAGAAGCTGATCTTGAACTTTTAGCTGCAATTTCGAAAACCCCAATTGTCAAATCCAACAAGTGCTTAAGGTCCACAAATCAATAATGAAACTGCAGCTTACCCATTGCAATGAGATATTCAATGACAGCAGGTTGCGAGTAGCCAAGCACCACCATCAGTTTGTCCGACACCCAGGACTTCAAATTATCTCCCGCCATTCTCTTTGCCTTGTGATGCCACTAAAATAAATAAATTAATCTCCCTGCTCCGTAACTAGTTTATTTTTTTTTTAGTGGGAAGTAACAACACTGCGCTAGTTATTAAATTATTATAACAGCCCATTGACTATCAAAGTAGAAAAGCCCAAAAGAAAAAAAATAGTATGAACACTTTTTGACAACAGCATATTATGAGGAATCTCTCTTACTAGAAAAGTAAAAATAAGATGTAGTAGTTTTCTGAAACTGAACTTACAAATGGAGAGAGGCGAATAGACTTGTTCGAATAGATTCAGTCGTGTCTGGGAAATATAGTTTGTCGGAAGATTATCTTCTGTGACCTAAGACGAAAAATCCCTCCGTCGTCGGAATTCGGAGAAAAAGATCTACTGAGTTTTCTTTATTTTAAACCCAAAAAAAAAAAAAAAAAAAGTTAAACACGAAAGACACGTGGCAAATTTAGGGATGGCCCATAGGCCCATTAAACTTACCCCCAAACAAAAGGGAAGTCTCTATTCTTATTACAGAGCTCTCCCCACTGGTGACGACGAGTTACGTACGACTCTCTCCCTCCGTGATAATTCACCATGAAGCTCTCTTTTCAAATCCCTTGCAAATCCAAATCCGGATCCAGAGTTAGGTTGAATTCCGACAGGAATGACGGCGTCGGTGTAGGAAATCTCAAGGAGTTCGTCACTGAATTCGATCCTTCCGAAACCCTAAACCACGCCAAACCGAAATACGTAATACCTCCCATTGAGGACCGTCGGAGGCCCTACAAGAACATCGATCTCCCGCCTCAGTCCGCTTCTGGTCTCCAATTCGAGGCCGAGGTTCCCTCTGTCGATGGCCATGTCTCCAATAACATTTCGTACGGTCTAAATCTGCGTCAGAAAATCGAGGCTTCGAAGCCAGAGCCTGTGGAGCAGATGTTACTGAAAAGCATGAGGAAAGATTTGGAGTCACTCCCTGATGCTCCTGAACTAGAGGACTTCGAGAGCTTTCCTGTGGATGGCTTTGGAGAAGCGTTACTGGCTGGCTATGGCTGGAAACCAGGCCAGGGAATAGGCCTTAAAGCTAAAGAGGATGTTAAGATCGTTGAATACAAGAAGTGGTCTGGTAATGAAGGTTTTGGCTTCACTCTGGATAATCCCAAGGTTAAGGATACCACCAAGGCTAAAGCCAAAGAAAGTGGTAAAGGCGGAGACGTATCTTCTGCTGCAAAAGAGGTGAGAACTATCGCTGGTAGAGAAATACTTGGTTCCGGAAGCCAGCAGGAAGTAAAAGTAGGTATCAGTGAAATTGAAAATGTGGAGAGATGTAGAGTAGTGAGTAAACGCAGTAGAGAAACAGAGAGAGAGAGTCGCTCTGAAGTTAGAACCTGTAAGCAGAACTGTAGAGGTCAAACTAGAGAGGCGAGAGAGGAGGCCTCATGGCTTAGAAGTCATATAAGGGTGAGAATAGTAAGCAAGGATTTGAAAGGTGGGAGATTGTATCTTAAAAAGGGAGTGGTGACGGATGTTGTTGGGCCGACAACTTGTGATATCACTATGGATGAGACGCAGGAGTTGGTTCAAGGGATCGACCAGAAGTTGCTAGAGACAGCATTGCCCAGGCGAGGAGGGCGGGTGTTGGTTCTATCGGGTAGACATAAGAGTTGTTTTGGGAGTCTTGTTGACAAAGATTTGGTTAAGGAAACTGGTGTGGTTTGCGATGCAGATAGCCAGGAGATGCTTGATGTTAAACTTGAACAAGTCGCCGAGTACATGGGCGATCCAGCTGATATTGGGTACTGAGCCATATTTAACTGAAACTCAGGTGTCAAGGCGACATTGTTGGCATTCAATTGGCTGCGTAGAGAAGACACAATCTAGCTTGTTGCCTATATATTATGCAAGTTCAAGTTGGGTAAACTTTTGGACCTGCTAAGTTACAAAGGTTAGGTTTATATTATATTATTTGATGAACCATATATTTCTCTTTATTGTGGCATGAAAAAGTACTTGAAAATTCTGGTGGGAGAGAGCTATGAATAAGTTATTACTTCACATGTGTAATGTACTCATGATTTTTCTGATGAAAACAGCAAGCAGTAAGATGCAGAGGTATTAGCTCAGCGAGCTACATTTCCCCTTATGAATGGTATAACAACATTTTTGTGTACAACAAAAGATTTGGAACTTTGGACGGTTGCCCATGTTTAGGGAATAAATCAGGATACAAGTTAACAAGTTAAATCAGGATAAGTGGCTAGAGGGAACACAGTGTCATGCTTAACTAGTTCTTAACCAATTATAATCACTTCGAAAAGTTTGAATAGTTGGTGGACTCACTTAGCTTTGACTGTAAAAAAAAAAAAAAAAAAAAAAAAAAAAAAAAAAAAAATTATGATAATACGGAATTAGAGGAACTGCCTCACTTTACTTGTAAAAGATATAATCGGTGAAAGTCTTTAATTAATGGTACCAAAATGACAAGATCGTCACTGTGACCGTGGCTTAAGTGTACGACTTCGACAAATGAATCTTTCCTACAAAAATCATGGAGCGGAGTATAAAACTAAAGATCATACATAATCTTCAAAAAAAAATTTAAAGCATTGCAGGATTCACAGTAGGGTTTGTGTTTGCTATAAAATCTGGCTTAAAGCTGTTTGGGCTTTCTTTTTCTTGGTATTCCATTACCATTAATCCAAATTTGTCATTTATCTGGTATGTCAAATAGTAGTACATCTAGTTAGGAACACAGTTTGGTATGATTCCAGTTCTGGGTTTTAATCAAGTGCAATTAAGTCAGCAAAAGCTATCTGGAAGATTAAAACAACAAAACAAGGAAAAACACAATACATAATTCATAACAAATGTTATGGTCGTATAGGAACCAAGAGTTAGGGATCATAGGTTCAATCTAACGTTTTTTAACATTAATCAGTTGGACATCAATCGTCAATCCCTTAATGACTTTTCCATGAACTGCATGTAACAACAACAACAAAAGTATCACGTACCAGTCACATACACCCATCTACCAGTTTCCAAAACTATTATTTTTTATACCAACCTAGACGGGAACTTAAGAGACGCTTTTCCAATGGTTGAATTGTAAATCTTCCCATTCTCCTTAATCTTTCCAATAAAGTGGACACTAATTAACCTGCACTCAGAAACAACAATAGAATGGTAACACACACAAAGCACTCTGTGAGGATTTGGGTCCAAACACAACCACTAGATGTATAGAGTTCACCACAATTTTAAGGTCTTCGGTCTTATATGATGCATTCATTGGTATGTTTCCTACAATGTGGATTCATTGATGCCCTTATTTATAACAAGGCTTTAGTTTTTATTCAATGTGAATTCTTTGGTTGTGCTCCGAGGAAGAGGCCAAGCAAGCCAAGCACCGGCTTGCGGCCCGTTATTTAAATATTATTTTTGGCCATTTTTTGGTAAAAGTCTCCTTAGTTCAGCGGTTTAGTGTCGATATATATACATGAGTTCTCAGGTTCGAACCTCTAGAACTACATATATAGTGTACAAATTATTTAATGGTTGCTTATAATTTGGGGATGGACTAGGAGGATATAAGTTGATTAAGAAATAAGTGACTAGAGGAAACACGAAGACATCCTTAACTAGTTCCCAACCAATGTCCATTGTACTCAAAACTGACTAGGGCATTGACTTAAATGTTATAAATGGCTATAGGCAAACCACAATGGAGATTCCTAGTTAGTCCTCCGACGAATGGTTTCATCAGGGTTATCTTAGATTTGACGACTTTCCATAACGACGATATATTGGCTTTCAAAGGTAAAGAAAAAAAGGAAAAATAAAAAACAAGCTAAGGTGGGGGTAATATCAATAGACAATGGGTAAAGCACTTTAAGTGGACGATGAGTACTTAAGGGTAATAGGTTATACTGAGAATAAAAGAAAATTGTCTTTCAATGTGATTTGTCATTTTGTCTTGACTCTTGAGAAATTGAGTGTTATGTAACCCAAACACCATTCCTAATTAGCAGAATAAATATATAAACTTTTTGTGTTAAAAAATGATAAGTCAATTAGACTTTTAGTATAATGTTGCAACAACAATCTCAATATTCTTTGATATATAGTAGCTTATATATATCGTGACATTTTTGATTCTAATGTACGGTGTGGTGTAAGCATGGCATGGAACGTTGAAGCATATGCTCTTCTCTTACCCTAATTCATATATTTTATTTAGCTGACATCTCACAGACTCTCTCAGTTAAAAAAATATTTGAATTCGGATTCGAAAAGAAAAAAGAGTGAAGAAAGTGAGGACGAGGAAAAAATGGCTGGGAACGAGTTTTAACCGTGTAATGAGGAATCTGCATGGTTGGATGGAACCACTCGACTCCCCCTTTTGACCAAAGAAGAACCACAGAGAAGAAGAGACTACTACTCAGTCTACTCCCATAAAGTAGTGAAAAAGTTTCATTTGCTTGATTATTTAACTCCACAAAAGTATTAGTATTAAATTATTAATCATTTAATTTGTGTCTCTGATTAAGTAAGTGCATGAGACCACAATGAAAGGTGGAAACAAAAAAAACTAACATTCAAATGGGGTTTTCATAAGTCAATCGTTTTCAAACGCTTTTTTTATTTCAACCATTCTTTTTCTCTTTCTATGTTGATAGGATAGGTTATATATATATTTGTTATATTTTATTTTAACCTTTTTGCAATTTTGTTTTTTTAGGAAATACATTATGCGAATTGATTATACAGGCTTTACGAACTGAACATTACTTTTCAATAAACGAAGTTCCTTTTTTTTTGTTTCTCATACTTTAATTGCATTTTTCTTACTTAACTACAATATTTTATTGACAACAGAAGCTATATGAACTAATTTTATTGATATAAAATGATGTTTTCGCAGACAACACATCACTCTAATTAACAGTTTGGTTTAGAGTTAACAAATTTTTATATATCTTTGTAAATCTTTGAGATAACATTGTTGGTCAAACAGTCATTGGCTATGTTTTTAATCAAGAAATAAAAGTTATCAAAAAAAACTTGGGGAGTAGGCATGCTATCATATCAAAAGAAGTTATCGATTGACTTTCAATAATCGTGTTATTGCATACTATCATATCATGTTCACACCATAACGAGAAGAAAGATGAATTTGTCACGAATACATTATGAGTTTAGCTGAAATTGATTATATATATGCTTTTAAGCCGTACTTTAATCCTTAAAAAATATAACAAATAATTGATGATAGTATACTAGTATGATCTAACACTTGTGATAGAACCTACTTTACACGAATTGATCAATATGGAATTCGAAGCCACACACAACCGTATCTCTCACAGATTTTATTGTTTGCCAAACTTGAAAGTAAAATGTAACAGCAATGATTAACCATCGATGATTAATATATTGAAACGCTGGCTTGATAGTTTTGTGCCATCTGGCTAATACGTAGTAACTAAATGCTTAATAACTTTTATAACATACAACTATTTTATGACATGATTTATTTCATAAATTGAATTATCTAATGATGTGTTGATGTTACATATTACCAAGTATGGAACGTTAACATGAAACATGTTAATCTTCAGCATATTTAGCAATGATCCATGTGGCCTCTATCAGTTCATGTGGCACAATCGGGACCGTCAAGATATCACGCCACATGAATTTTGAATAAATTTCCATTTACCTAAGAATAGGTCTAGGAATGGTAAAGGACAATGAAAGTAAATCATGACTTGCTCATTTTGACCAACTTCGCACTTTATACTTTACATTAACACACGTAAAAATCTGACGGCGATCATGAGGCATCTCCATAAGTCCTGAAAAGTAGCAATGAATTGTTGATTCCTTAACACACACAAAAAACACAAAAAGACATAGTATTGAGTGTTGATTACAATTATATATCATATAGGCTGAACTTATAAATTCAAAATTTAACATGCCACCTTTCATTTTTTTCTAATATTATTCTCAAGTCTATTTTAGTTTTAATTAATGTTTATACTTTTTAATCTAAAAAATTAAATTATTGCTCTAAGTACAAAAAAAAAAAATTAGTCTGGTTATGTTAAATGGTGTATTTTATTACGGTAACAAATACTATACTATGGTAGTTTCTTTAGTACATACAACTTATAAGTATATCATATGATTAATTCCACTAATATCAGCTTTATAACTAGTTGGATGTTACTAATTTTTGTTTAATAAGTAAATTATTATAGAGACATATATAAAAGCGTGGATTGTTTTTAAAGATTAGTTGAAGATCATTGTTGTTGGATACGATAACATTGGTGTAGATAATAAGATTAGCATGAAAAAGTAGTCAAGTGGAACATCAAGAAGCATGATGGTGAATCTTTACCCTATATACGGTTTACACACGGCGACAGTCGCGTCTAAGATGAAACGCACTATTCTTTGTTTTATATTTTGTTTGCTTTCTTCTCGAACCGTTTATATACATGATCACATACGGACAAGATATTATTTGTTGCTACGATATTATCAAATCTCTAATAAAATAAAAATTAGTTAGTTACGGACCTAATTTTGGCTGCCTAATCATGAAGTTCAAGAGTGCTCTGAGACAACATAAAATATGTCACACGTGGCGGACACCTAAACGATTCATTTCTTCTTTACACAAAAGGAGCAAACATGCATGGTTTTAGTATATTTTTATGGGTTCTACCTCTTTGAAACTTCGATATGTTAATATGTTATGTAAACGATTTGGTCCATATTTTTAAAATGATCCAAATACAATTTTATATATAATATTTTTAATTAGTAATTTATGTAATTTGTTGTATTAGTTGTTATTAATAGTAGAGAGAACGTTGGAATCTGTCTTCTTGTAAGCCAATTAAACAAACCATAATGGAATGTTTTTAGTTTTTTACCATGCAAAGTTTGGAATAGTTCATGTACTTAGGTATCATGTTGACATAAAAGAAAAATCTAAAAGTAATTAGCTAGTTTGAGTCCTTGGTAGAATATATACTCGAAAACTAGATTATGCATAACAACAGTGATGAAAGATAACCTTCCGATTTTAATAATATTAGTTTGAATTGGTTTAGCTAGAAAGCTATC